CTCGCTTTCTGAAGAGTATAGTAGGGATGATAGGGTGCTGTCTTGCATTTCAACGATTCCATGCAGTTTTCGAGTGCGGAGTCCCTCCCTCGGCGCATACTCAGGTCGCAAAATCAATTGTTCATCTTTCCAGAAAGGATAGACTGTCTGGCGACTAACAGTTTCAAAACAGTCTGGACTGGGTAACTCAAAGCAATAGACGATGTGTTTGCATATAAGGAAGCGACTGTGGAGGAAGGATTTGCAAGCACAGACCCAGTTAACTGGATTCGTGTGGTATTCTTTTAATTTGTCCGGATCCACGGTTTTACAGGCTTCCTTACGCCACTGCTTCTTGAAGGCATCTCTCCATCGAGCTTTGAATATGCGAAACTGCCCACTGGAAATAGCTTTCATTCGATGGACGGCATCCGGGAGAACTCGCGACGTCAAGACCCACACCACCAGGTCAACCCGCGGCCGATTGAATCGATGAAGATAGTCGTGCTTTAGCGTTCGCCAGTGTGACTCAACAATCATTGTTGTTTTCACCACTGGGATATCAGTAGGATCGGCGGCCCGTGCCCACAGCTTCCACTGTTCGGGACAGTACCAGTTGATATACAGATAAGCCCAAAGACGGTAATATCCCCGTTCCTTACACCACGTATGCATCTCGGCCGCACATTCGCGATGCAAAGTCGTCGAGGACTTATATGTGCCATTAGAATCAGGAATGAGGGGATGAAGGTTAAAATGTCGACAGAAAATTTCTAGAACTGTGTCCCGGTCCTCCTTGGTTGCGGGTTCCAGTCTACCAATTTCGTCGATTTTATCCCCTTCGATGGGCAGGCGCAATCACCAAATCGATGGCCCAGCGGTCGGCGGATTGGCAACGAGCCCCAGCAGATCTCCAAATCTGAGACCAGTTTCTGGGCTTCCTCGGGCCGGTAGTGATTTTGCGTGTTAGTGCTTTTAGACGAATTGAGCTTTGTGCTTACAGCCCGTTTCACATGCCAGTAGCAAAGTTGAACTTTTACCCCAGACCACACTGCCGTGACTGCGGCAATTTCTGATGAGTCCTTGTCAATCGCTACGCATCTTGGATTGAACCCGAAATTTTTCAGTCGTTCAAGAAATTGCTGAAGAATGTATGTCGTCGCTCCAGGGTCCGCACGGATGGGTTTCTTCTGTGCTGGGTTGGCCTGAGGAGGAGGCTTTAGCAGCTCGACCAGGCAATATGCAAGCGGAACTCCAGTACCTTCAACTTCGGCCAATACCGCAAATAGGTCCATACCACCACTGTTGGTTCCAAACGTGGAGTCCATCACTAATTTGAGGGGCGGATCCCCGCAACTTTTCAATGGTTTCAGAGGCGAAGAACCCTAATGCCCTCAGGTTTCCCGCCGTGAAGACTGCGTGGTGATCACGATAGCGACTGTCTTCAGAAAGAAGCATTGTGGCCGAGACGAAGGGATCTAAGTCTCGCTGCCAGATCTCTGCATTCGCTTTCTGCCACAGATAGTACACTTGATGCCTCGTCACCGGTTTTCCTTCTGGAATCTGTCGAATCTCACGGTATATTTCGGACGGAGTTTTGGTGGATACAAGCGAATTGATCACTTCTTGCACAACTGGTGACAGTTCGATGTCTTCATAGGGTATGTGCCATTGATGACAGATCGATAGAGATAGCGTTCGGCTCTGTAAACACGGCCGTATATTGAGCTTGCTTTGGCAAGGAAACCGCGCCATTCGTCGGCCATCCCGCTGCTTCTCTTCCTCCACCGTAGACTGATAGTTTTAACGTGCATCAGGTCTTGGGAGCAGTGGTATTTGTACGTGAAACTTTGGAAATTGGTTCCCGTGTGGCGGAAACGAAACCCACCCGCCTTCCAAATCACTACACCCAGGTCGTGCATCGCCGCGTTCACTTCGGATCGCAGAAGCGTGTTACGGTCGATGTCATCTCCATCGCCATTTGCAACTTCAAGCGCACGCAGGGAGCCGAAATTAACAGGTAGAGTATCCAAATCAAAAATATAGCTCCCTTCGAGTATTTGGTCTTGATTCTATCAATTCAGATCAGGTTAGAAGAGCCTGTTTGTCCACCAGTCTAAGCTTTGCATTTCTACAATCTCAAAGATACTTGCCAATTTATTCCAATTTCGGAGAAGCCGGGTGAAACTGTCCCAGTCATCGAGCTCCAACGCGCGTTTTCGACCATGGCGCTTGCAAGTTCTTTGTGGCTTCCCGTCCTTGTTAAACTTGAATTCATCAACGCCGTAGAATTTCACGCATTTGCTGCAGAAGATTTTATCAGTCTCTTCAGGTAGATCAGGAAGAGGATCCATTGCTTGGGAGGGAAGTATGTGGGACAGGCAGGATAGGGATCAAGCAACGACGAGCATAAGATAAACAGAAACCGAAAAAGGAAAAGGTTGCTTTTATGACTAAGAAAGTATATATCACCTGATCGCAAATTTGGGGAAGTGCATTACGCCCCCATTCTTGTTTGTTTACCGCTCATTTTCCTCTTCCTTTCTTCCCTCCTTCAACGATTCCTTCTTGTACATAACCTATCTGTAGGTTCTACGGGTTCAGCCCTTGACAACTATTAGTGGCGGACCACCTGACCACCCACCGCCTTTCCGCCGGTGGGTGGTCGGCGGCCTACAGGCATTTCCACCCTAGAGGCAGATTTTTAAAATAGTATTTTTTTGAAGCCATACAAACCACCCAACATGACTAAATTATCTGAAATTCATGATGGGCGTGTAGATGAAGCCGTCCGAGCTGCCCAGCAAATTAAAAAACACCAAATATCGCTAAAATAGCGCGAGAATTCGGAGCAATTTGATGAAATTGGTGCTATCTGTCAGATATACGGCTAGTCCCGAAGAGGAAATAGAGTACGATTGATGAAAAGGTCTTATTTGAATGGATTGAGCTTGTTGGGCTCTTCTTGATTATTCTTCTTGGTTATTCTTGATTGATTATTTTGTTGTGTGCTCCACGGGGGGTTTTACCCCGATCCAGTCACATGATTCTGGTCCACCAACGGCCATATTATTTGACACTATCTCAACGAAAATTTCATGCGTAGGGAGGGGAAAGAAAGGTGGTGAGGGGGCGGTGAGGAGAAGTAAATAAAACTAGATACAAACAATGCAAACAGACCATGTGCACCGTCACACATGGTTCTCAAAACTCTATCATACATGATGATAACTGTGTTCTTCATATAGTCGTGTTGTGTGTTTCAAGTTTAATGGTCCCCTTTGGAGGCATCATTTCCAACAGACGGTACGTAGGAAAGACGTTCAATAAAACGCCCTTTCTGGTTTACGCTTTTTGGAGTGGTTGGCACTTCAGCCACCAATGCTAGTCTGTAAAAGGTTAACCTCATTGTTCCCCCAATCAGACTGGCTCCTCTGATAGACAAACCATTCATAAGGCCGTTCAATAGGGAGAGAAGTCACTTTAGTGGGCGCTGAGCCCAAAGCCGTGGCTAGTGGCATATCCGACCTTATAAATACTGACCATATTCCTAGCTCAACCAGAGATGAGACAGACCAAATGGCCCGTAGGTAAGTCCGCTGGTCTTTCAATACAGATAGCTAGAAATTACTTCTACGCATTAAGGCCAAGTGAATGCGAGATTGAATATTCATGAAAGTGGTTAACCACACAGAACACATGCAACAATGTCTTTAGCTAGATGCTATGTGGCTTGTCAATTGATTCTGAACCACACATTCTGTTGTGTTGTTGTCCTATCGAATTTTTTGCGGTATATACGTGAACGCGATGCTTGCCGTCGTGATACTTGCTTCTCTGTGGGACCATTGCTTGGTTTTGAATACGCTATGTGCAAGCGGTGCAATTTACTTCTATATAGGAAATCCAATCATTCAGTATATCTCATGTTTGATGGCCCTCACTACCAGCGAGTCGTTGCCTCCATTATATGGTTGTATGGTGCCATTATAATCGCCTGTGGTGTCTGTTGCGGTTGTGCTTCAGAGTAAGATTGATTGTTCTATTCTCCTCGTAAACTTGAGGGTTTATATACAAGATGAATATCAGACTGATTTCCAATCAACCTGATTCCATACGGAATTTATTCCGTATGAGATATGAAGCTCTATAGATACTTGAGCGAGCCTCAATTTACAACAGGAATATAGGGATACTGTTGGAAACAAACATCGGCACCACATATCTGGCTATATTCATACACCTTCCTCGTAAGACCTATCTCTCTTTTGTCTGACCTCATTTCTGCACGACAACTGAACTCCTTGCCTTTAGTTTTTGCCGTCTAGGGCCCCCTGTCGGCTCGCTCGAGGAGCAATGAGCAAGAGAACATTGAGAAGCTATCTTCAGGGCGGGTAAAGAGTTATTTATCTTTGTTTACAAGAACGAGCTGATATCCTGAAGCCGGAGGAATGTGTTTTCAGCAATCGATACAATGCGGAATGCTTTTGAACGGGCATCTATACTCCCTCTATTTGCGGAGTCACAAATCCTAAACTTTGTTTTCCATTTATCTTCCACAACAGGCCAAATAGATATTGGAATCAACAAGAATAGTCAATATAATTACTTATAATAAGGCTGGCCTATGAGTCATCTACTAGACGTTTCTGTTCCCATGCCTTCTTCGCTCCATCCAGCAGAAATTCCATGTTGCCACTGTTTTCACATATACTTCGAAAGAGGCCATCCGTCTTGTTTATCAGCGTCCAGGGATGGTCAAACTCGATAACGCGGCCGTGGTCCAGTACCAGCACCTTATCATAGTCGATGATGGTTTGCAGCCGGTGTGCGATCGTGATGATTGTGCAGTCCCGGAGCTCCCGTAACATCTCTTGGATCTTGCTGTCGGTACTGTAATCGATAGAAGCCGTTGCCTCATCCATCATCAAGACCTTGGGATTCTTGAGAAGCGCACGTGCCAGACACAGTAACTGCCTTTGGCCCTGAGAAAGGTTCAATCCGGATTCAGACACAGGATATTCAAGACTGAGGAAAATGTTCTTATTATCCTGGGTAGCCACATTGGCACCATTCAATATCAACGTGCTGGGCTCTAGATATTTGATACCGGTCAGGGGGGTTGTAGTCCCTGTGGCGCTGGAGCCAATCAAGCGCACGCGCCGAAGTGCAGTAAAAATCTGTTCATCAGTCAACATACCAAACGGATCCAAATTGCTCCGTATAGTGCCGGTGAAAAGTGTGGGATCTTGAGGAACAATGGTGATTGACTCTCGTAAGTCTTTCAAGCCAATAGCACTGATATCTATGCCGTCAATGTATATGCGTCCCTTCTCTGCTTCAAGCGCACGGAAAAGAGCAAGAGCAAGCGAGCTTTTGCCAGCACCATTACGTCCAACAATGCCAACTTTCTCACCAGCTTGTACGGTAAAAGAGATGTTTTGCAGAACCGGATCAAGATCAGCCCTATATCGAGTGGTGTAGCTGGAAAAGTCGACTGCGCCATGGCTTGGCCAGTTGGCCGGTGGTCTTGAATCGGCGATGACCGCCACCGCTTCTTGCTCAACACCTAAATATTCATTTACGCGCTCAACGGAGTTCATGTTTTGTTGAACCTCAGAATAAAGCCGGACCAGCCACAAGACGTTCTCTGTGAACGTGACTGCATATGTCAATGAAAGTCCAGCAGCACCGGCGTCTACTTTGCCAATGTTCGCGATGATGAAAACGGCAGTAAAAAATGATATCGAGGCTCCCGTAATATCAACACGGAGTGCCAGCCACCGATCAATAGCCCAGAGGTAAAAGTGTGGCCGATTGTAGTTGTTTATCCGACGGTGATTGTCCACGATAAACCTCGGTCCATCGCCATATGCACGAATGGTAACGATGCCATTGAGCGTTTCACCAAACTGCTGGTATAAAGGACTCCGTTGCACAGATTCTAGTCGTTTGAGATCGCGAGAGGAATTCAAGTAAACAGCACCCAGAGTAAAGTAGATAAGCGTAATGAATACTGCTGCAACCAAAAATCCAGGTGTGATAACAGAAATAAGAACCACGATTATAATAACCGATGCTAAGAAGTGGAGCATACCAATTACCACAGGGGCTACTTCCTGATCAACCGCTTCGACATCCTTTGAGAATCTGTTCATTATTTGGCCTAGAGGAGTGGAATCAAAGAACTTGAATTTCGCATGCATCACAGCCTTCAAAAGACGATTGTGGATTTTCATAGACGCATGCAGAGAACCCCAGAAAAGGACGGCCTCCCTCGTAAACGAGATTAAAAGATAAACGGCGCCAAGAAGCGCATAAACACCAAGATAGTAAAAGACATTCACATCAGCTGAAGCACTGATTGATACCTGCGTGCTATGTTGAGAGCTGCTTGAGGCTGAAGTCCATGGAACACCCCCAATGTTAAGAGATGGAAATTTCAAATTTGTCATCGCAGCATAGTTGCCCGCATCTGCAGTCACTGCAGCCTCAGTACGGTAGGAATTTGCCCACTGTCTTATCCAAATATTTGTGGACACCGAGCCTAACCGCTGCAGCGAGAAGACAAGCAGAGCACAGGCCCAGTAATACCAGGAGCCCATAGACTTAAGGTACATCTTGATAGTTGACCATTGGACACTACCAACCGCCTTTGACTCCACGAGCCTCGGGTGCGCATCGTTTCCTTTAATACCCTGATCAGTCGAACTGTTGACAGCAGAACTGTTGGCCGTATCTAAGTCCTCTTCGTGCTGTTCTTCCCGACCCGTATGCCTGCGATATGAACATTGGGAACTTGATCTGGAGACTGGTCTAGATTTAAGGAGATTGTCACCAAAGGCGCCTGAAGCTGCTACCTCGTCCGGATGGCCCTGTGCGGCGATTTTACCATTCTCAAGAACAACAACATGGTGTGCGTGTGGGACAGTCAAGGCAATATTGTGTGTAATAAGTATGCAAGTGCGGTCTACCATCAAAGACCCCACGATAGCTTCTTTGAAGATATGCTTTGCTGTATGGGAGTCGACAGCACTAAGACAGTCATCTAAGAGGATGTGCCGGGCTCTACTATAGATAGCGCGTGCGAGAGAAATTCGTTGCTTCTGGCCTCCTGAGAGACTGACTCCATTCTCCCCAACCATTGTTTGGTCACCAGCATGAAGGACGGCCAAATCTCGTTCCAGAGCGCCTGCTTTGATCACAGCATTGTAGCGCCGTTGATTAAATGAAGATGCAAAAACAATATTTTCCTTTACAGTGTCATTCACGAGCCACGCTTCCTGTGCACAGTATGCAACGCTTTCTATAAGGCCTGTCTGGGGATCCACTGGAAGCTCTGCCCTGCTAACAGTTCCACCTGGCAAACAAACCCGCCCTTTCAGGAGCTTCATTTCTCCAATTAAAGCCATCAGGAGGGATGTCTTCCCTGAGCCCGTAGACCCTGAGATAATATTAAGACGCCCGACGTGGAAAGATACATTGAGGTCGATTAAACGGAACGCGGCAGGGGTTTTATCTGGCGTACCATCCCAGTACCGACCCTTGATAGAACCCCAGGTAAGGGTAGCATTGTCAAGTGCGATCCTAGAAGGCTGTTCGCTGATCTCCTCGGGCTCTAACTGAACGTACTTATCGGTTTCTTCCTCGTTCAAATACTTGTCCACTCGCTCCAGAGAAACTTTCGATTCTTGAACGTGGGCTAGTATGTCGGCAAGCTGGTCAAGGGGGACACGGAGGAGCGTGAACAGGGACAAGGCAGGGAATGCCACTGAGGGCGTCAAGTCCTTCTTCTCAACAACGGTGTACAGGAAAAAGGAGGCGAAAGTAATGAGAATCGGCGTCCCAAAAAAGACTATTGCTATCACAGACCAGAGGATGTAACGGAAGCGTAAGGCTTTAAGTTCCGCTTTTCGCTTTTCATCCACAATATCCTGGAACCGCTGTTCCCATGCAAAATATCTTATAATGCGTATGTTTTGGAGGATCTCATTTGTAGCGTGGATGCGTGCATCGGTACCCTTTAGGATCTGGTTTTGTATCTTCGTAAATTGCTTTGCAATGAGGATATTTATGGGTAGTAATAGGACCATAATGATAATACCAGCAAACGAGCTGAACCCTAGCAGCCGATACAAGAGTGAGACAGCGATAATAATCTGCACTGGCACGCTAGCCCATAGGAAATGTAGATTGGCGCCCACCTCACTAACTTTGAAGGAATCAATCGCCATTAAGTTGATGACCGTCCCGACGTTCGCCAGCTGAGTCGCGTCCTCGGCTTCTGGTTTCACACCTCCTGGGCTCGTTTCCGGATCAGTTGCGGCCCTCTTCTTACGGCCAAAAGAAAAAACATCCTTCTTTTTGTTACCTGTAGGAGAGTCGTCTGTTATCTTTTGCGTCGAGTCGACGGCTGCAACGGCCTTTCGTCTAAGGGCTTTGGCATAGATCTCGCCGATAATGATAGCACGAAGTTTCACGCCGAGCATGCGCCCGATGAAGAGGGCCTGTCCATCGGCTATTCCCTGGATCGCTCCGAAACAAAGCAACAATATGGCGTACAACCAGGCAGCATTCGCCGTGGTGGACCTCGGATCCTCAACGTATTGTACAATTACCCTGAGAAGAATTGTGGGAAGATAGGTGAAAAAGCTCGAAAGGATAGTCCATGCACCTTGCATCAGGAGGGTGCCAGCGAAGTAACGCAAGAGCTTCCAGGTTAATGACCCTTTGTACTGTTTGCAGCGAAAACCCTCCAGTACTGTTGCGGCCTTCTGGGACTTCGTTAAATTCCAGACGTCTTCGAGCTCAAGAGTTTGTCTGCAGCCTTTGTAGACGAGAGGGTCAAGCCAGGAAAATGTGAAAAGAGATAGCAAGCTCGCAGTTGAGTGTCTTGCCGGCTGAAGTCCATCTTCACGTGGAACCAAAACTGTCTTATTCCCTCTACGAGTGGTCAAGGCAATAAGAAAGAGAAAGGTAGACAACAAGAACTCGATAGCACTAAAGCTTAATGCACGCCTTGATATCGGATGGATGACGGAAGACCGGAAAACAAATACGGTAAAGAGCCATTGCAGCCCATACAAAGCAGCTGTGTGATCCCAGAGCCTGGGAAATGAATGCAGCCCGAAGATCGAAAGAAATCGAACCAACACCAGGAATAATATGTAACCCCAGGAAACCAACTTCACGAGGGCAGGCAGTTTACCAAGGTCACCCCAGCCATTCGTGAACAGAATGGCAATAAAATTGGTCACTTCACCTACTAAAGCAACAAGCTCCAATGCAATAAAAGTGATTTGACCTCGAGGACGGTCGACGTCGAATTGGAGCAGCTCGGCCTTCGCCGCCTTGGATAGCATTGGATCAGCTTCTTCCACCAGCTCCTCCTCTACCACTCCGACACACTGCGTATCATCTGCGGTGGCATTACCATGTACAGCTTTATATAACAAAATCTTCCGAACAACGACATAACGGTAAACAAGGCGAAGGACGATCAATAGTAGGGAGAGACCACATGCTGTAAGGGGAAAAATTACTTGCAGGTAACTAGATTTCAGACGGCATAGGTAAGTAGCTGGCACCAACGTGGCATTAAAAGCAAGGGAAAGCCAACTGATACGGAATATGGAAGTACACACTTTCTCTGAAAGCAACGAGAAAGATCGTCAATAGCCCAAAGCGGGCCATGACACTCTGGTATCATTTCTAACAAACGAACAGAAAGAGCCAAGTTGAGAATAATTCGACTTTCGCCCAGGAGGCTAATTGAGAAATCGAGGGTGAACAGCTTGGTATTCAGCCCACTTTACGGGCAAACTTGAAACAGAGATGTAGGGCAAGCTGGACATTGCACGACTTTGGATAGTGGAAGAATAAAAAAAAGATTTTAAAGAAGCCGTGTAGAGGGGAAAAGAGGAGAAGTCAGAAAGCCACCAAAGGATAACTAAACCACGTAGAGAATTATAAAGGCATACAGAAAGTCACACCGGTAAAACTAAGCAAACTACATAGAGAGAGGGACAAAAAGAAGCAGAGGACGTCGATGATAACAAAGGGATAGCAGAAGCTAGGAATGTACGAGGCGGAGTACTAAGGTACTAAGCAGATCAACCGCCCGTAAGTCATTAATGTACTATTCTTACAATGCCCATACACTAGCCTACATACGATCAAAGGGAAATGAGTCTAAGGAGGGGGATGGGCCCCCCCATTGGTGGGAGACAATATTGTTACTGTACGGAATACAGTGGTCTGGAATGTGAGGGATCCCAAAGAATGGGGGAATTATTGGACGGCTGCAGCTGACTATTTATTAATTTATTTATTTATTTTTTTTTTTTTTGCCTAGAAGGTCTCCCTGCCAAGCAAGAATCACCCCCATCCGAGAAACGTAGTTTACCCCTATTGTTCGATCCCACTTTTTCAAAATTTCCAACCCAACCATTGTAGATTTAGAAAAATCAATGTATGTAATTAGTAAAATTATGGGGACTCCATCGCCGGAAACTCGTACTCGTGAGCCATCGAATCATTCAATTTGGGGCATTTTGCGTCGTTAAGTTCTGCAGTCCATACCCTCGAGGCTCTAGTGTTCACCGTGTATCATCGGGCAGCTGGGAGAGCATCCAACGCGCAAAGTTAAAAATTCAACTTGCTTGCTGAAGAGGAGAAGGTCCTCATTGAATGGATTTTCAGCTCCATCGTCTTGGAGTTCCTGCTCAACTGTCACGAGTCCGTGGAATGGCCGAACACATCCGTCGAAGAATGGGCGATGATTCGTCGCCGCTAGGTAAGAATTGGGTGACGAAGTTTACCAATTGACACACAGAAATCAAATGTGTAATGGGTGCAAGAGTAGATAAGGAGCGCTGGAACTGTGTTACTCGAGAATCTATGGAAGGATGGTTTAACCGCTCGAGTCGGTGAAGGAGAAATACCGTATCCTTGGCAGCAACATCTACAACATGGATGAAAAGGGATGTATTTTAGGAATATCAGAGAAGGCTCGAGTCCGGATCCCTTCCAGTTCTCGTGTAAAGTTTATAAAACAAGCAGGCGACTGAGAATCGGTCACAGTCATTGAATGTATCAGCAGCAGCTGGGTAGCCATTCCGCCGTTCGTGTTCTGGAAAGCTCAAACTCATCGGAACAATAGGATTCCCTTACAATGCGTCAGTCCATGAATGGGACTGCATTTGGGATCAGTCCGAATGGATACGCTGACCATGAGCTTGGGTTTGAGTGGTTGAGGACCATTTTCCAACCGGTGACGGTTCAATCAGCCTGGGGTCACACGCGTCTTCTCATCATGGATTGCCATTCCAGTCACCTCACCAGCGAATTCCTGGGCTTCTGTCATGACTACAACATCCTGCCTCTCTGTTTACCTCCACACGACACATCTCTTGCAACCGCTTGATGCGGGATGCTTCGCACCGCTGGCCATTACTGCCGCGTTGAGGTGGACGAAGCCACGCAATATGGCTTGCGTGGCGTTTCCAAGTATGACTTCCTCCAATTCGACTCAGTAGCCCGTGAAAAGGCATTCAAAGTAGAAACTACTTGCTCCGCATACCGGAAAGCTGGGATTGTTCCCACTGACCCCGAAGTAATTCTCAAGCAACTCATTGCCCACGCTGACGCAACGGGCGACCTGGCAACGTCCTCTGGCATCCCACAACCTCCGTCACGTCCAGGAGGCTCTACAGGCTCTGTGCCCACGCCGCGCGTTTATGCAAAACTGCTAGAATACTGCGGACGATTAGAGGAGTATGTCCAGAACCGCGCCAGCGAGAACAGCTCTTCGCGGAGGCTGCCTAAGTATACAAAGCCATGGTCCGCAAGAGTGCTAAGTTTACAATCCTCGAAGAGACCAACGCCGGATTTACTAAGATTATCACCGCCAAAAAAGAGAGAAAGAAGCTGAGGAGACATGTCGTTTCTACAGTACGCATTCTTACGCTTGTCCAGGTGCGCGGGATCAGGGAGGAAAAGCGCCGAGCGGAAAACAAAAAGCGACCAATGGAAGCTAATTAGTACGAATTCGAAGAAGGCAGCAAAAACGTAAGAATACAAACGACATAACTTCTAGGGATGATAAGAAACTGAAGTCGCGTTGCGAACATGAGCGGCCACGGATTCGAACCACCACAGAACCTAGGGAGAATCCGTTGACGACAACAGCCTCTGCCATGACCCAGGAAGAGGACACGGGCCCCAGTGCCTTTCGCAATACTGAGATAGCCGATAGTGTTCCTTTATCTGAAGACAAAAGGATGGAAATGGTTCCTCACAAATAAGCAACCACCTACACAAGAACCACATCTCGATTTCCTTCCCGTAGACCATGCCTCGCGTCGACCGGGTACGTCTAAGTGCTAACCAGATAATCCCTAATGTCTCGAGACAAGAGATAGCTCAACCCCATATAGTGCGGCCTCCGGACAGTGAGTCGCCATGGTCGCAAATCTCGAACAGCATCTTGCCAGCAAAATGGCCACGGGCCAGGACTATTCCAACCAGGCTATGGCTCGTAGGATCTATTGAAGCTCCTCAGCGCGACTCCCGAGATCAAATTCGAAAATCTCATCGCGCAGTGTGGGATTATCCTCATCATGATCTATTCGAAGTCGCCCAAAAGCTACGCATGTACAAGTACTTTATTGATAATTAATTAATATGCAGGGTTTGAACCACTCGGTTCTCTAGCAATTCATTTTGTCGGTTATTGGATCAGGCCATTCCCTGCGTGAGAAGATCTTTGTCGACTGCTTGACGGTGTAGACAAACCAAACCACGCCATCAGAGTGGACGAGGTCTTATAAAATAATCACCCATGGGGACTGCATGATTATATAAACTGGTGTCCAGCTTCAAGTACACAGGTTACCTTTACAAGATGCTATGCAATGCGTGGGACAATCGCGACTGATAGCGCGCGACTCTACTGACATGAACCCTCCAATGTGGACTGAGATACAGTTGAAACGCCAACTGGAGATAGACAAAGACCTAGGGAGACTGGAAACTGTATCATATCTGATGGGGACACCCAACTATTTGCCCGAATACCAGAACCGCTCTGTAGGGTGGGATACAAAATTAAAAGGCACGTCTCCACAATAGCATTCGCAAAGCAGTTTCCCTTTTCGCAGTCGGTGACTTTGTATATTCTTTCACCAGTGGCTGTGGAACCTCCACTTTGCTGACTCTTGGAAGAAGCGTCAGCGCGTAGCTATGAGCTGATCATAAACCACTTCGATCCTAACTGATATTGAATATTGCACTCGAAATGATCCAGCGCAAATCCTGGCCCTGGATCTGGTCCCCGATGTGGCTGCCACACGTGCTACAGAAGAATCAAGGGCAGCCGTTGGCGCAAAAAAGGACAGTCTGTCCAGTCATGATGAAACAATGAACTGAGGTTACTTGTCAGAGGGTAGGGGTGTATTAAATAGAACGGGCCTCTGTGGACGTATTGGCACAGGTTGCGATGGCTTAAATGGGCCTTAAAGCGGGAATAGCATGAGCAAGGATAGCGATTGTGTACTGGACGCTTCATTGGTGGCATAATGCTATTAATTCCCTAAGTCCTGGGCACAAAATATTATTTTCCATCGTAATTTATAGCCAAGCAGCCTTTTATTGTGGAGATGAAGAATACATTTGGTAATATGGAGTAGGCCTTGGGATTCATGTGAACATGCTTCCAATTGATCTCCGTAAGCCGCTGAAAGCGGTCCAAAAATACTAGCATCAAGCGGTTGCAATAAATACGTAGAGCCAGGAGGATAGGTGGCTACATAGATTTTATTGTCTCAACATTAGTTTAAAAACTTCATGGTGATGTGAGATCCGTGGGCATCAAGAATTAAAGGCCTCCAACGCCTCCTAATTTGGCCGCTATTACCAGGTCAAATATCTGCTGAAGCAAAGCAAATCCTAGATCTTCATTTGTCTAATCAGATGGCAAAGATGCAAAGAAACATTGCTGGTTTGTGGCATCAAATTTTTGGAGCTAGGAGTCTTATAGTTTGCCAGATACCTCATGGTATATCAGACCAGGAGAAAAAGAGGGCCGGTCTCCACTCCCTATGACTATCCTGTAGGCGCTGCTTACAGCCCCCTTGCTTTCAGAATCGATACTAGTGGTATAGGAAGATATACGGTCCTTTTTATGCCTTTCTAAGAAGCGGCCAGGCCAGTTCGTTCCTGGCTTTGTTCCCGCAATTTTCCTTAGCCAAATATTCCGTAGCATCTAATGCGCATAACAGAGAACTCGCTCCGATTGCTTACTTATGAAAAATACAAGCTTTCTGGCTTGCTGGTGGTTGAGGAAGCGCTGGTCTTCATATTGCTCGACTACTGAACTCCACGGTGATGCATTGACAGTGTTGATTCTCCAACGCCAAATCGCTTCTACCCCTGGTAGTTAGTCGACACTTAGTATGTAGCTCATCGACCCACGCTCTCTCCAGGCCTACGCTCTGTATTAACTCCTCGGACGGTATATTAGGTCGCTCTATCCTGGAACGCTATATCGCATCAGCCTACTCATCGAGCACCGTATCAAATGACGTAATCAGGCTGAGCTTCATCTTCAGAACTACTTATCCCCAAATGCTGGCGAAGAGCTTGGAGAGGCTTATCTCTGTACTGAGCCACCACGTCGCCGTGGTTGGAGGTTTTGGGGATCCTTTCACGGAGTTATTAGAGGTCCTTGTCTTTTCCGAGAAAGCATGGGGTACAATTCCTATAGATACCTACTGTCAAAGGGTGGCGCCTTTAGATTGCTATGTTAGCCTACTTAAACAGAGTAAACTGAGCTTCTTTTAATGCAAGATGGAGCTCCAGGCCATAATGGTTCTCAAACAGCTGCTGACTTCCATTTTTTGGCCCGCTTTCTCGCCTGATCTGAATCCTATAAAAATGGTATGGAATTGGATGAATTATTGGATTCACAATACCTGCAGAGATAGCCATATTACTTATGCTACTCTCCGTGATGTTGCACGCCGAGCGTGGGATGAAGCGCCAGAGAACTTTTTAAATGAATTTGTTGGCTTTATGGAGTTCAGGTGCGAGGCAGTAATTGCTGCAAATGTTGGCCATACAAAATAATGAAATGTCAATTTTTAGATACTGCTTTTCCGCTTCAGCGTTAACCAGTGCCTGTTCAATCATTTAAGGTCAGATACACCTTAATGTCGCCATATTGCGTCATTCCAATTGACCTTATGTCGACCAAAGTGGGCCAATATTACCCATTATTCAGCATCCGCTCGGTCCGACTTTATTCCTTTGTTTTCACCTTTGTCATCCAGCTCTCCCAAATAGATTCAGATAGTTAGAGACCTTAGAGACCTCATTTTTTTCTTCAATGCATATCCATATTCTTATATAATCGGTGATACTAGCTCATACGCGTATTCAGCTGACCGACACCTTAATCTCTTATGTATTTAGGCTTGAATATATCTCTGGATTTGATACTAGGCATTACGCTTAATAGCATTTACGAAATTTCAATGTAAAGTGGCAGAATTTTAGTGTCTACTACTACAGTGGATCTTACTAATGAAATCACCGGGATAGACCAGAGTAGAACTCCAAAAGGAGGTAGCATGCGCAAATAGATACAGTCATCCTCAAAGCAGACTTTACCAGCAAACATATGATGACTATTTTTCGCCCCTCCGTCGAGTGAGGAGTGCTGTAAGTTTCTTCCAGTACAAATTATAAAATATATTAAATACTTTTATAACTAATGTAAACTAAACTTTAATTTTTAGACTTTAGTGTAGCTTTTATGCCGTATTTGAAGTATGAAATTCCAAATTTCATACGTGGTAAGGGTGGGGGTCCGTACTTGTGAAGTCATTTTTTGCCGACAACAGTGTTTATCGTACGCCGCACCGATGACTTTAAAACGTTATCCCATACGATCCACAGGCTGTGATGGCCAAGCAATTTAATGAAATTGGAGCTATCTCAACGAAAATTTCATGCGTAGAGAGGAGGAAGAAAGGTGGTAAGGTGGTAGTGCGGAGAAGTAAATATTAAATAATGTCACGGGCTACGCCTGTATGTTGCTCGGCTTCACCTTCGCTGCGTTCGACACATATGATTGGTCCGCTTATCGTAATCACATGACTCCTTGTAGTATGAGAAGTGTGCGTAATGCACTTCCCCAACCGTGCGATCACATGATAGAAATGCCAAGACTTTAATCCTCCAATTAAAAATTCCCGCAATTTAACAATTTATTTGAAATACATCGTTGCTGGATGTTTACATCTCCCCAAGTCCGTGGCATGCTTCGCATATTACGACGGCGCTTAACTTCTTCCACCAAGATACGATTCATTTGGTTAGAAGCTATAAATCTCTCCACAAACTTTTCATTTCCCTTTGCTACTTGATCCTCAAAAAGATTCATCGCATTTTGCATCACTTCTCTGAATTCTGCGACGAGGATTTCCATGGGCACAGCCTCCTGGTCATCATCTCCATCCTCATCCTGCTCTGACTCGCTTTCTGAAGAGTATAGTAGGGATGATAGGGTGCTGTCTTGCATTTCAACGATTCCATGCAGTTTTCGAGTGCGGAGTCCCTCCCTCGGCGCATACTCAGGTCGCAAAATCAATTGTTCATCTTTCCAGAAAGGATAGACTGTCTGGCGACTAACAGTTTCAAAACAGTCTGGACTGGGTAACTCAAAGCAATAGACGATGTGTTTTGCATATAAGGAAGCGACTGTGGAGGAAGGATTTGCAAGCACAGACCCAGTTAACTGGATTCGTGTGGTATTCTTTTTTAATTTGTCCGGATCCACGGTTTTACAGGCTTCCTTACGCCACTGCTTCTTGAAGGCATCTCTCCATCGAGCTTTGAATATGCGAAACTGCCCACTGGAAATAGCTTTCATTCGATGGACGGCATCCGGGAGAACTCGCGACGTCAAGACCCACACCACCAGGTCAACCCGCGGCCGATTGAATCGATGAAGATAGTCGTGCTTTAGCGTTCGCCAGTGTGACTCAACAATCATTGTTGTTTTCACCACTGGGATATCAGTAGGATCGGCGGCCCGTGCCCACAGCTTCCACTGTTCGGGACAGTACCAGTTGATATACAGATAAGCCCAAAGACGGTAATATCCCCGTTCCTTACACCACGTATGCATCTCGGCCGCACATTCGCGATGCAAAGTCGTCGAGGACTTATATGTGCCATTAGAATCAGGAATGAGGGGATGAAGGTTAAAATGTCGACAGAAAATTTCTAGAACTGTGTCCCGGTCCTCCTTGGTTGCGGGTTCCAGTCTACCAATTTCGTCGATTTTATCCCCTTCGATGGGCAGGCGCAATCACCAAATCGATGGCCCAGCGGTCGGCGGATTGGCAACGAGCCCCAGCAGATCTCCAAATCTGAGACCAGTTTCTGGGCTTCCTCGGGCCGGTAGTGATTTTGCGTGTTAGTGCTTTTAGACGAATTGAGCTTTGTGCTTACAGCCCGTTTCACATGCCAGTAGCAAAGTTGAACTTTTACCCCAGACCACACTGCCGTGACTGCGGCAATTTCTGATGAGTCCTTGTCAATCGCTACGCATCTTGGATTGAACCCGAAATTTTTCAGTCGTTCAAGAAATTGCTGAAGAATGTATGTCGTCGCTCCAGGGTCCGCACGGATGGGTTTCTTCTGTGCTGGGTTGGCCTGAGGAGGAGGCTTTTTAGCAGCTCGACCAGGCAATATGCAAGCGGAACTCCAGTACCTTCAACTTCGGCCAATACCGCAAATAGGTCCATACCACCACTGTTGGTTCCAAACGTGGAGTCCATCACTAATTGAGGGGCGGATCCCCGCAACTTTTCAATGGTTTCAGAGGCGAAGAACCCTAATGCCCTCAGGTTTCCCGCCGTGAAGACTGCGTGGTGATCACGATAGCGACTGTCTTCAGAAAGAAGCATTGTGGCCGAGACGAAGGGATCTAAGTCTCGCTGCCAGATCTCTGCATTCGCTTTCTGCCACAGATAGTACACTTGATGCCTCGTCACCGGTTTTCCTTCTGGAATCTGTCGAATCTCACGGTATATTTCGGACGGAGTTTTGGTGGATACAAGCGAATTGATCACTTCTTGCACAACTGGTGACAGTTCGATGTCTTCATAGGGTATGTGCCATTGATGACAGATCGATAGAGATAGCGTTCGGCTCTGTAAACACGGCCGTATATTGAGCTTGCTTTGGCAAGGAAACCGCGCCATTCGTCGGCCATCCCGCTGCTTCTCTTCCTCCACCGTAGACTGATAGTTTTTAACGTGCATCAGGTCTTGGGAGCAGTGGTATTTGTACGTGAAACTTTGGAAATTGGTTCCCGTGTGGCGGAAACGAAACCCACCCGCCTTCCAAATCACTACACCCAGGTCGTGCATCGCCGCGTTCACTTCGGATCGCAGAAGCGTGTTACGGTCGATGTCATCTCCATCGCCATTTGCAACTTCAAGCGCACGCAGGGAGCCGAAATTAACAGGTAGAGTATCCAAATCAAAAATATAGCTCCCTTCGAGTATTTGGTCTTGATTCTATCAATTCAGATCAGGTTAGAAGAGCCTGTTTGTCCACCAGTCTAAGCTTTGCATTTCTACAATCTCAAAGATACTTGCCAATTTATTCCAATTTCGGAGAAGCCGGGTGAAACTGTCCCAGTCATCGAGCTCCAACGCGCGTTTTCGACCATGGCGCTTGCAAGTTCTTTGTGGCTTCCCGTCCTTGTTAAACTTGAATTCATCAACGCCGTAGAATTTCACGCATTTGCTGCAGAAGATTTTATCAGTCTCTTCAGGTAGATCAGGAAGAGGATCCATTGCTTGGGAGGGAAGTATGTGGGACAGGCAGGATAGGGATCAAGCAACGCGAGCATAAGATAAACAGAAACCGAAAAAGGAAAGGTTGCTTTTATGACTAAGAAAGTATATATCACCTGATCGCAAATTTGGGGAAGTGCATTACGCCCCCATTAGTATGAGAACGCACACTTCCTCCCCTTTACTTTCTCCCTTTCAGCGATTCCTCTTTGTGTATATCTAGTTATTAGATAGCAAGGCATTTCGCCCTTTACAATGAATAGTGGTATAAAACCAGCGAAGGCCTCCCACATGCAGTAATTGCAATATTCAGGGCTATAATCGATTAAAATGTCCTACCAGATAGTTCTACTGCGTATTTTTTATAATATATTTCATTTATATGGAGATAAATGGTATGAATAATATCTAAAGTAAGATGGAGGTGAGGGAGAGCCGGAGCAGTGAGCGGCGCGCCGCTCGGTGTCCAACTACTTTATCTTAATTTATCTTATTCATATTCGTGCCCAACAGCTGCTTAAGTTATTCATCGTCGAAGAAAATCATCGTCTCTCTACCCCTCTGCTTTCTCGCCTATATTGTATACTTACTATATTAACAGCTGCCCCATCCATCTTCTATCTACTACCAGGACGGGTTGTTTGCAGCCTTGATCTCGCCCCGCTATACTCGGATGAAGAAGAGCCCGCACGACCAACGCGATGAATGAGTCAGTCTCGTGGCATACAAGACTCTGGCGTAAGATTGTCTCCCTGACGGGTCTGGACAGCTTCCACTCCATGCATCGCGACGTGATATACTTATTCTTGCAGAGAATTGTGCGCATGTTTGCTTTTGGAGGATCAACCCTTGTATTATCTATTTTTCTTTCTGCTCTGGGAAATTCAGAAAAGAGGATTGGTTTTTTCATGTCGTGGACTCTAGTCGGCGACGTGGTTATTAGTTTATCCATCAGTGTGTATTCAGACCGCGCGGGGCGCAGGCAGGTTCTTGCCTTGGGATCATTGTTGATGGCAATGAGTGGATATGTCTTCGTCACCTGTGACAATTTCTGGTTGTTGCTCGGAGCTAGCGTCGTTGGAGTCGTTAGCCCCAGGTAAGTCCTGGCATATCCAACAGGTTCAATCTCGCCCTGCAGCATTAACAGATTATCTCATCTCCCCTCCACAGTGGCGCAGATGTCGGTCCGTTCAAAGCCGTGGAAGAATCGGCCATGGCGCAATTAATGCCAGCTCACAATTACAACGCGATCCTCTCATGGTACTATATGCTGGGCTCCTGGGGAGCAATGATTGGGACGTTGTCGTGTGGCTGGTTGTTACAGTTGCTCGAGGATCAAGGCTGGGGAACAGTAGATGCATACCGCTGCGTTTTCTGGATATACGCAGCGATGGGACTAGTGAAGCTCGCCTTATCGGTCATCCTTAGCCGAGAGTGTGAAAGCCATTTGACCCAAAATAAAATAGCTGACAGTGAGAATGAAGTACACGACCAAAGTGATAGAGAGACTGAACCACTTCTCCGCCCAAGCGATAACTCTCTCATCCATGCTGAGGAGCCACCCACCCTTATTCCTTCAATGAACGCAAGCACAAGAAACTTCGTATGGAAACTGTGCTTTGTCCTGATCCTGGACAGCATTGGAAGTGGTCTGTCTAATAATTCTTGGATGGCCTATTACTTCAACCAGAACTTCCAGGTCGAACCTGGGATCCTAGGCTCCATTTTCTCCGGCTTCAATTTTCTGACGGCGCTGTCTAATGTGCTTGCGGTTCCTTCCGTAAGACATATTGGGTTAATTAGAACCATGGTCTTAGGTCATACTGTGGCATCCACTGCGCTTCTTTTACTTCCTGTCCCCAGTCAACTCGCTGTCGCTACCATCCTGCTCCTACTTCGAGCAACCTTTATTGATTTCCATCAACCATCGCGACAGACCTTTATATCTCAATCAGTGGGGCCGAAAGAGCGAACTGCAATCCTGGGCACTGTGAATGTGATCCGGACCCTGGCTCAGAGCCCGGGGCCAGTGATCACTGGGTTCCTGGGGATCGTGGCAAGCTATGGCTGTCATTCTCACTGGCCGGAGGAATCAAGATAATGTACAATATTATGCTGTGGGCTCTCTTTACTGATCCTGCCAAGCAAACCACTTGAATATTCCTCTACCGATTTTTTGTAGTATGAAATTAACGTTGTTTTTCTATATACGGTAACAAGGTTCAGTACTGTGCTGTTCCCAGTGGCTTAGGATCAATTAGACACCTTTCCAGCCGCTTGCGTGGACGATCGGCTGATATTAATTTTCCCTTTACTGTAACCGGCAAAGATAGCATTATTCACACCGGCAATAGAGATGTCCCCATTCTCCGCGGCCATAATTCCCGGTGACCTTGTCGGCCTCGAACCCTTTGATTGATCCCATACTGTTGTATTTCAGATGAAAATTGTTACGGAAACACTATAATCTGCCCGACTTGGCGGTGCGGAACTAACGATCCATTCTACCCCTCAATCTTTTTAGTTAGTTGAACACCTAAATGAGAATATAGAACCGCTTAGTAGGCTCAGTTAGTTGAGATACTGCGATCCCTGGTGTGATGATCCTGTACACCTTGGCAAAATGGATAGATTCTATCTAAGGTGGCGATCTAACGAAACATCAAACGTAGAGAAGGAAGGAAGGAAGGAAGAATTCTATCGTACAGGAAATGTGGGAAATCTCTACATTGTGGGATCAACAGTGAATAAAGCAGACTTGGTGCCTCAGGCAGGGTTCGACCTAGGTCCTGACACCTGGTGTTTCCACTGAATGACATCTACTTCCTAATTAGGCTAGTTGGCCTGTAGCTGATAGAATAGCTCCCTACGCCCCATTTCCCCTGAGTTCACAACAACTTTTGAAACACAGCTCCGTAGAGGGAGCCTGAATTCTTTCTGCCTAGGCATTATTTTAATAATACTAAGCCATCCCTCTTTTGATCCATCCAAAAGTAAACAGTCTGTCCTTAGGAGAGAGAAACACAGACGAAACCACGACATTATGACCACCTAGACTGCGGCAAAACCGCGGTTTTGGGTATCATAGTCAAAACCACAACCGCAAATTTGCGGTTTTGGATATCACTTTGAAAACCACAACCACAACCGCAGATTTGCGGTTTACCAGGTTACCATGATAACGCAAGAAAACGCACTAGCATAACTCTCGCTTCTTTAACCAATCTGGATATAGGTGACACTTATGCAGCTTACATACTCTTGTTTTTAATTTAACAATACACCTGTTCTGGTTAATACATGAGCCCGGTTAGTGTCACGATCCTCCGAATCGGAACATTCGACGGAGAAAACCGCTGCGCCAGGAGCAAAAGACTAGGATTCAAGGACAGCGTCCTTGAACTGTTCTCGCTTTATATAGTCAGGTTGTACAGCGCCGTCACAATGGTCTCCCACTTCCGGATATGCCAATTGAGGAGAAGACGCAGGCGCGGTCAGGGAGGGTTCGGAAGAAGCCTAAGCTACCTGAGGGATTTGAGATTGATAAGCTGTAATATTAGAGACTTAGGAAAGAAATCGAATTTGGTCTAAAAGTGTATTTTCAAGGTTTTAAATTAAGAGACATAGGTATCTATTACATATTAGATACTCCAAAAATACTGCGAAAAGTGCACAATTTATGCATTCACGGGAAAGTCACGAGTTTCAGCATGTTTGTAGTGTTTACATATCCATGGATAACCGCAAAAACCGCGGTTTTCCAAAGTGAAAACCACAACCGCCCACAGTGCGGTTTGCGGTTGTGGTTTTGGTTATCCACGGTTGTCCATGGTTTTGCCGCAGTATAGTTATGCCCTTTGGCTTGTGCAACGCCCCCGGGTATAAACAACTCAGTGCTTGATTACCTCGATGTCTTCTGTACCGCATACCTGGACGACGTCCTAATTTATAGCGATACCCCTGAAGCACATACCAAACATGTTCTGAAAGTCCTTCGCCGTCTCCGGGACCGAGGTCTGCACCTAGATGTCGACAAGTGCGAATTTGATACCCAGGAAGTTAAATACTTAGGTCTTATTATCAGTACCAACAGCATTAGTATGGACCCTGAGAAGATTAGAGCGATCCAGGAATGGCAAACAGCTCAAGCCTCTCCCGATTCCTGAACGAAAATGGCTCCACCTAGCCATGGACTTCATCGAAGACCTCCCAACCTGCCGCCGCCGCGGCGGGAAGTATAAATATGTCCTAGTGGTTGTCGACCGACTTACTAAGAAGCGTATCTTTGAACCAATAAAGACTAAGGGAGTTAGCGAGCTGGTTGAGGTCATGCACCGCCGTGTGTTTTCCGAGTATGGTCTACCCCAATCAATTGTTTTGGACCGGGGCAGCTCATTTACCTCTAATTTCTGGAAGCGCTATTGCCTTCAATACAAGATTAAATGCAAGATATCCACCGCTTACCACCCCCAGACCAATGGACAGTCAGAGATTCTGATTAAATATCTAAAAAACTATCTTAGAGCCTTTATAAATTGCGCTCAAGATGACTGGGCCGATTTTATCCCTGACGCGTAGTTAGCGGCTAATGACCATGTATCTGAAGCAACTGGAATAACACCTTTTTTTTGCTAACTTCGGATACCACCCCTATTCTAGAGCCGAACCGACAACTGACCCTCCCAACCATCCCGAAATGGAAGCAGCTGATAAACTGATCAGGCGAACTAAGCAAGTTAACGAGTTCCTACGCACCGAGCTTATATGGGCTCAGGAAGCACCAAGCAAGCCAACGCCCACCGCCAACCACACCCCGCGTACCGGATCGGGGACCGAGTCTATGTTGATGCTAAGCATTTCTGCCTCCATCGGGAGTCCCAGTCTCTAGCTCGAAAGACCTTAGGCCCCTGGGCTATTACTCGAATTATTGACGGTAAGGCTTACGAGGTCGCCCTACCTGATATATGCTTTCGCCGCTGGTATCACACCCGTGTTTCATCCCTCCAAGCTTTACCTCGCCCTTGTTGATGCCTTCCCGGGCCAAATCGAAGAACCTCAAGCCCCGGTAATGCTTTGGGACGCCGAAACTAATGAATCGGAGCCCCACCCCGAATGGGAGGTGCGGGAGATTGTTGACAGCCGTCAGACCCGATATGGGGTGCAGTACAAAGCCCTGTTCGAGGGAGGATGGGATGATTGGAATGCTAACCCGCCATGGCAACCCTGGGAGGACTTCAAGAACGCAAGGGACGTGATTGCTAATTTTCGTGCTCGATACCCGAAGAAACCAGGCCCCCTGCTTACTTTAATATCTGTCAGATAATACGGCCTTTGGTGGACCATAATCATGTGACTAGATAGGGTAAAAACCTCCGCGGAGCACACAACCAAACCAAGAAGAATAATCAAGAAGAGCCCAACCAGCTCAATTCATTCAAATAAGACCTTTTCACCAATCGTACTCTATTTCCCTCTTCGGGACTAGCCGTATATTCGACAATATCCTGTCTACTGACCCTTTATCTGCCCCTGATGCTTTTAATACCTCTAATACCTCTGAGACTGAGCCCACTGCTGAACCCAATGTACATAAAGCTTTAGCTAGTCCTTGCAAGCCCGGGGACCTCGCCGCCGGTCAGGAGGGGAGTAGTGTTAGGGCCCTACGCCCCAACATACCTCCAGCTCGGAAGTGTGTCACGTGGGCAGATGGTGTTCCCCCCACAGAAGTTGATCCACGGCTCCGCCGCGGATCCAATTTCCTCTCCACGCTTCGCATTCTAGTTAATGGGAACACCATTATTGGATGGGCGGCCCAAAAGAGGTGTAGGCTGGGTGATCACGTGATTAAATAGGGCTAGGGCTGTTCGCGAGGCACAAATTCTCCAGGTTACAGGTCGGGTGGCACCGTTCTAGAGGTGAGACGCCGCGCTAGTCAATCACATGACCTATTTTACGGCTTCCGGCAAATACACTACAGAGTTTTAAATACACGGCAGCTAACCTATACAAAGCCTTAACTACATTTTATTATTTATTTGATGTTGAAAATCTCGGGGAAGAAGCTACGTTGTGAGGTGCTAGGATAGCTATTATTATTATTATTATTATTATTATTCTTCTTCCATATTATAGAGCATTTTTTCAGTCAGAGACTATGCATGCTCTACCTACCACCCCTGGGTGGTAGGATTTGAACTAACAAACAGATACGTACATAGTGGGTAAAATCGAACATAAATAAGCAGTATGACATTCTAGGAGTGGGGAGGACCTTATAAAAGGGGTTAAACCATGCGAAATTCCAATTCTTTTTGCTGTTTTTCCTTTTTTTTTTTTTTTTTTTTTTTTTTTTTTTTAGGGATCCAGGTGTCAAGGGCTAAACCTCTATAACCTAATAACTAGGGTGGATACAAAAGGAATCGTCGAAGAGGAAAGAGAAGAGGAAACAGCGATGAGACGATTGCGAAGTAAGGGGGAAGTCACATGATAGAGTGTACTAATCAATATACTAATCATGTGGCAGGCGAGGAGAAAGGAAACACGAGGGCTGAGGGCCCGAGTAGGCTGAGGGGCTCTAGCCCCTTACACTACTCCCCTTCCTATATAAGGCCTCCGAAGGAGGCCTAATAGCGAGGCGGGTTGCTGGCGCGGGCTGTAAGCTTTTTCGGAGGTTTCTCGGAAGTATCAGACAAAGTAGAGCGGGCATCGCAGTCTGCGATCCAATGATCATTAGAACCGCAGTAAAGGCATAAATTATTCGCAAGTCGGAAACGGCGGCGGTCAGAGGTGGTGGATTCATGAGAAGAATCAGATAAAACAGGCGAAGCAGCTCGGGCTACTCTCACAGAGCCAACATGAACAGGATTGGGGTTTATTTTAACTGAGTTGACTCGGACCGGATCAGTATCCATTGGGTCTGTATTCGGGGTCAAAGCTGGTTTCGGGGCTGATTTTGGACTAGGACGGGTACGCCGATCGGTACTCTGGACAAGTTCAATATATTCATTATAGGGAAGATCAAAGAGAGAATTATTCGAGTCTTCTAGTATTCGACGGAGATTAGGCCGTAGCCCCGGTGTAGCGTGGTAACACGTGATATATCTGGCCATGAGTTTACATTGGCTTCATATGAAAGTCGTTCAAAACGAGCAAGGTAGGCGATAAGCGATTCGTCATCCCTCTGTTGTATAGAAGTAAAGCGCTGAATAGCCTCCTGCTGTTCCCGTGGGTTATGGCATAGACGCTGAAAAAAAAGAAAATAACTTCAGGATCCCATAGCTGGTTTTCTTCGGCAGATTGGCGGAGGTGCAGGACAGAAGCTTGCTGAGACTGTTCTAGTCGATCCCATACATAGTCAAAAGCATCAGCTCCTACGAGCTGGTCTGATCGAAGTTTTGCTTTAATTGACGGGAGCCATGTGCGAAGCGTGTATGGTTTACCGTTAAAGCGAGGCGGATCTGGCAGGCGGGATCTGGGTGTCTGGACGGAAAGAAGCTGCGTACGAAGCTGGTGGACATCTGTTCGGGAAGCATCAAGGTCCGCACGTAGTTGCTGTATTTCATTACGCTGGTTTTGAATATCAAGGCGCTGGTTTTGGAGCTCTTGCTGGAGCTGCTGCACAAGCAGGAGGAGTGGATTCGGGTCGGACATCGTAAAGATATTCCCATAGACTGGCGGACAGGCAGGCAAGCGGGCGGGCGAGCAGGCAGGCAGGCGAGCGGGCGGACAAGCGGGCAGGCGAGCGGGCAGACAGGCAGACAAGGACGATTCCTAATGTCAAGGGCTAAACCTCTATAACCTAATAACTAGGGTGGATACAAAAGGAATCGTCGAAGAGGAAAGAGAAGAGGAAACAGCGATGAGACGATTGCGAAGTAAGGGGGGAAGTCACATGATAGAGTGTACTAATCAATATACTAATCATGTGGCAGGCGAGGAGAAAGGAAACACGAGGGCTGAGGGCCCGAGTAGGCTGAGGGGCTCTAGCCCCTTACACCAGGAGCCACTTTCTAGTGGCGATCCCGGTGCTAGGATAGCGGTGACTGGATAGTATATTGAACTATCGGTGCGATCTAGTATCGCATGGTGAGTATGTTCATCAATCTACGGATAGGAGAGGAAGCGTAGATAAACGCTTCCTTATGTCTACGTGTCCTTTAGCCCCTTGCGTGCGATATATCAGATCCCTACGGGACTAGGATATACAAAGGTGCCTTAGGCATCCTGATTTCCAACATTTGACGTAATTTTTCCGTCCGTACTATAAGCTCTATCTCTTTTCCCTTATTTTGAGGCTCCTTTGTCTTTTTGTTTTAATCGAAGCTCAATCTCGCGGACTTCCAGGGCTTCCCGTCGTTGCTTAATATTTAATATATTTTGCGAGGAGATCCGCCGAAGACTTTGTGAGGCATTGAGGATGATGATACAAAACTACTTAGGAACCAGTTAGTAACTGGTTCGCAACTGGTTCACAACCGCTTTATACCTACCCTGGATTTTGTGACTGGGATTAAGATCGTTGAGGTTGTAATTCTTTGTGCATCTACAAATAAATGAGCTGAAGATGAGCGACAATGCTTCCATGATTCTAAGTAGTTATTAAGTAGTTAGTAAATAGTACTATAAAATAAATATATATATATACATATTCTTCACTTGCTATATGTCGTAAATAATTAACTTCTATATTTGCTGTTTGATATGAATAATAAATACCAAAACGAGTTTAATTATATATTAAAAAACAACTTGTCTATTAAGCTTTGCAGAACTAGAAAAGTATAATTGGCAACTACTTAATAATTGGTTATGAACTGGTTACAAACTAGTTTATAACTAGTTTGTAACTACTTACTTTGCTGCCACTAATAATAATCGCTTGCCTGCTGCATTAGACTTGTGAAACTTTACTAAAGCTTAACTAAGAATCTTCTACATGCATATTAATTTGGTTTGTATAAGCAGTTAATAACTAATTAGCAAGTAGTTAGAGTAGGCTAAAATGTTCGATGGTAAGAAATATTATGAGGGAGAATTGAAATTGAATTTCGTTGTCTGTAGTATGGTATTTAAAGGGTGAGGTGCCGCGCCGCTTGTGCCAAGACCAGTGGGGCCGGCTGACGGCTTCTGGGAAGCGGCACCTGACCTGTGTACTCCACTTCTCTTCAATTCAGGAGCTCGGGCGAGCTGACTATCTAGGTGGGTGACTAAGTGAGGCCACGTGACCATACCGAATATGGTAGGTCCCTAACATCCACCAACGGCCATATTATTTGACAGATACATTGTCAGGATTCGGGTTCTGCCTCCCTTCACCGCCTGTAGATAGTTTAGTTCTGACCTCGCGCCGCTCTGTTTACAAGCCCTTCAAGCGATGTCTTCGTCAAAATGCAATCCAGTTGTTGACCCAGTCTCGTGCCGACATACATACAAGCAATGCAAACAGACCATGTGCACCCGTCACATCTTCAAGCTTTTGTTAGATTGCAATTGGCCTAGCTAGATTGAATATAAATTTAGCTTTAGCCCTCCACTTTGACATATTCTTTCATCTGTCAGGATCAGCAAAGGACAAGTAATAGAATAGTTGTCTGTCCTACCTTACTGTACGTAGCAATTAACTCTAATGGAGGGCGTTTAGCACCAGGAGAGTCCTTAAGCTTCAAAATTCCAGCAGGAGTGGTGACATGCTTCACAACTCCAACAGGTGTCCAATCACGAGATGTGGTATCTGAGCTGCTAGGATGCCCAAATCTGAAAAGCTGTCAGCTCTAACTGAACACCCTATGGGATATTACGAGCTTACATAATTCGATATAAACCCTGATTTGTACCTTCCTTGAATGCAGGGTCGGTGAGGGGAAATTCCATGAGATCACGCTTGTCGAAATTGGGTGGCATTTCGAAAGAAAATTTATCCCGGTTGTCGAATTTTTTGGGGTACCCTATTCATAATGAGTATAGTAATTAATCATGCAGGGGACAATTTGACAATACCGGGATTCTCTGGCTTGGCCGTTTTCTCTGACTTGGTCGAATAGGCCATGTATTTGGACTTTTTAGGCATCTTCTTCTCGGACCTCAATTTTTGATTATGGGCCTGTCTTTTACCTTCTTCCTCCTTCTTTTTCACAGTCTCAATTGGTGGAATAGTGTTTCCACCCGTCAATGCCTTCAGCCCTGCTTTTATTGAGGCCGAAACTACGTGCCCCTCAAAGTTTTCGATATTTGGGAGTTTGTTCCCGGGTGCGTTTTCCTCCGGAAGGCCCTTGTCTGACCGGGTAGGTCTATTATTACCCTTATTTCTCACTTGAGTCCATCCCCCCTCCCCATCACTCTCATTCTGTTTTGTCTTAGGGATGGCACCCTCAGAGTTTCTTTGTTGGTTCATTGTTCCTTGATGGTCATCAAAGTTGACCGGGTCGTCGCCAGCATAGATATACAGGTTCGGCCCACCTACAGCACCAAGTGGATCCGCCGACGTCCATCTTCCGAGCCATGGTGCGTAGTATCTCTCGCCGCAGAGATAGAGCCCAGATTCATTATCCCGCTGATACCTTGCAAATCGATACTTCCGCGGCGCTTCCGTGATCCGAGCTTGATATGTGCTGGATCCATATGGAGAGTATTCCTCATAGGATATCACTTTACAGGTATCATCGAGTTCCAGATTCTCGCTCATTTGATATCGAAGCAGACTTTGCCCAGTCCTGGTGTTGTTTTGGTTCTTGGTCTCGATTATGACCATGGGGGCGCTTGCAGAGCTTAAATTGCCAACACTTGTGGTTGTCTTCTTTATCAGGGACTCACCATTTCCCTTGTAGGAGGTAAATCTATCACAGAGAGGGAGATAAAAAGTCTCTTTGACCTTTGACTTTCCATCTCGGACGGTGACCTTGCGAACTCGTTTCCCCTGCGAATTGTAGGTATACCAGGTTGTCTCCGGCGTGTGGCCATCCCTAACCCGCTGCTTGGAGAATGAGCGTAACCGATGGTTATAGTCCCAGCCTAAAGATTGTTCACCTATAGAAGTCATGCAGCCATTGAGTCCAATGTTACCGTTATATTCGTACCGCTCTGTGGTAGAGCCAACGTGGGTGCTGGTCAACCTGTTGTTTACCCCCTCATAGGTGTATTTCCGAGTCCATGCTGAATATGTGGTGTTACTCGCTGGCTCGTGTTTGATCTCTAAGATATTACCAGAAAGATCATACTCATATGACTCCAAGTACTCAATTAGTTGCTTCCCGTCGCCGGCTAATGTGTTCACTTTTCCCGAAGTCGGGGCATATGGATTTAAACGATCACTAGAAGGGTTAACCTGCTCTCGACCAGATGCTGATAAAAGCTGGCCAAAAGAATTGTACTGGAACTGTTGCTTTGGTTTGACGACTTCGTTACGGAAATAGGTTGTCTGTTGTGCGGTGTCGGTTTTTTCGACAACTTTCCCAAGGCAATCGTATATAAGAGAGACATCTTGCAAGGCTGTTTTTATATTGTTTCTTGCAATAATAGTTCTCTCCAGCCTCCGTGTCTGAACGTTGTATATGTGCTTGGCCTGGGATCCATTCTCGTAGCTGACGGAGGTCATTTGATCATCTGCGGAATACTTGATATCATAAACAGAGGAGGTAGCGCTGGGGTTGTCTGTAGTTGTGGCCGACTTCACTTGCTTTAGACGACCGGCGATGTCAAACCTGTTTTGAACATATTGACTACCAGTGGTAGCTCTATACACCGCGTGGTTCATTGCGTTGAAGCTCGACCTGGTAATATGTAGCTCAGGCTCCAGTTTAATATCCTCTAAAGACCAGTCCAAAAGTTGATCATACGTCGCTGCATATTGGATGGACGATTCGATGCAATTGCCCTTGAAGTCAAATCGCGAATTAGTATCGACCCCAGATTGATCTTTACATTGGTAAAGCCGCTCCCTCAAGTTCTTATTGGCTCCGTCCTGCACGTATTTCTCGTCCCCATACTGATTCTGAATGACGCAAACTGGGTTTTCTTTGTCAGACTGCGGCATTAACTGTATGGACTTGATTCTCCTCAGAGCATCATAGTCTACTCGTTTCCACCAGTCATTGTTGGCCTGTGACACGAATGGAGCTCCTGTGCAGTCTAAGAGCGACCAGTGGACCCCACTGTCAATGTTGCTACTGTGAAGTGGCCGGTTTAAGTAATCGTACCAAGTTCTACTAACGATCCGATTGCGTGGGTCAGAAAGAGCAGACAAGTTCCCCCGCTCATCATATTGTTGACGGGTTTGTCGTACGGCAAAATTGCTGCGCTGCTCGGAAAGGACCTCACGACCTTGAGCATCCAAATACACAGATGTTGGGGTGTTGCTGTAGATTTCGGACTTCTGTGCAGCCAACTTGTCCGAGGCCTTCCCCGACTTCATTTTCTGGGAATGCCAGGTAGGGTAGTACTGCTTACGTTCCAGTAATTGGAAGTAGATGCCCACGTCAATGTCCTTGGAGGGGTCGTCGATCAGTATAGTGTCACCAGCATCCCACTGTTCCTCCATCCATGGAGTATATCGGTGTTTGCTCCAAGTGCGATCCGCATTTAGGATACCATGAAGCCTGGCAAGCCCGTCCCTGAAATAAACAATAGCTGGTTTATCTAGTTGTTCTGACTGGAAGCAGAACTTATGGGATGACTTAAAAAAGGGTAAGAACTGCTTCACGGGCTGGCCGTTCTGGCTCTGGATCTCCAAACCATCGAACTGCCATTCACTGCCTCCCTCAGTTCCAGAATATGTAGTGCTCTGAATTGCTGTACCCTGGCCGCCCAAGTAGCTAATATAAACCGAAATCTGAGTAGGCTCACCTGAATCTCTATAGTGGGTGTCACGAACCAGCTCCGCCTGGAAGCCTGGTATCCTACTTTCTTCATAGAAGTTAAAGTCATAGATTATCCGCCTCCCCGCCTTGCCCAGCAGCTTGGCAGCTATGGGGCCGGATGGATTTTTGACAAATTCGTCTCTTTCTGCCTGTGACAACTGAATGGCAAAGTCCTCAAGACTATCCCCAACTGGCTCATTTTCCTTCCCCATAACGGCAATCCCCACACTGACTCCTAGCGAGTCTCGCGCGAATTGAGTCCTATTACCATTTGCATCGATAACCAGGTTGGGTTGTAAGCAGGAGTAGTCGTATGCTACTCTAGTTGCGTTCTCCATAGGATCCAATGTCTCCACAAACAGTAATTTATAGGGATCCAACTGCTTCTTCAATATGTTTCTGAATTGGTCAATCTGAATGTTTGGAATAAAGAACTGGGCCCGGGCAACAAGTAGTTCACTGTTGGCCGCATCTAGCGTATCTACTTGGAATACGTGACGTGGGGATGGAGACCACCATTCATTTATCAGCCCACCGTTGGCGACAGGCAATTGAACGTAACCCGTGCTCTCTAGCGCATTCTCGATGTGACCTAGCTTCGAGATGGGCGTTGTGTCTATCAGCTGCCTCGTAAAACAAAGCCGATAGACTTGATGTGTGATGGAATATGGTTCTAATTTTCCTAGGGCCAGGGGTGCGGAGAGGTCTTGCCGGCGGTATAGTGAGATTTCCTTGGAGTGGAGAGACTTATATCCTTCTGCAGGAATATTTTCCCTCCAATCACGGTTTTTCGGGGGATCCGGAAAGTTGACAGCCTGAGTGAGCAATTTACAATTGTTGGCAGCCAGCTTCTCCCAGATATGTCGTCCATCGGTCATTGCACTAGTCAAGCAGGAGCCTTGATATACACAATACTGGATACTTTTAGCCACTAGTGGGGTGCGAAAACATTCTTTCGGCTCCAATATTGCATTGGTGTATGCCATTTCGGTATATGTGATTGCCGTTTCTTCTTGTTTTTTGCGGTCTTCAACTGTGGCCAGTGCGCTTTTCTTGTGTCCATAGCTAATAATAGCCTGCCTCTCAATGTTACCAAAATCATCTGTTTTTAGTGCAAAGGTGTGCTTCAGCCTTGGTTGTCCTTCGCCCTTCTCATACAGCGTCAGCAGCTCTTCCCGGTTGTTAACTCGGAAGATACCCCGCCTGCCCTTCTGCACCCTTTGATGAATCACAACTACATATGATTGTTCGGATATAGTATATGGCAGATGTCCCTGGCTCCCATCACCACTGCCGTATATTTCCTGCCGGCGGGGTTGGCCAGCCAGTGCTGCGTATGCTTCCTGTTTTTCCGCTACAGTAAGGCCTTGGGGTATCGTTGCACTAGACACTGGTTTATACTGAGGTCCTTGGATCTGGAAGCTGTGTGGGAGAAGAGTCCCCTGATCCAATCGCTCCAGGCCTAGGTAGAACCAATTGCGCTTGATAACTGGGGGTTGTTTAAATTGAGCACCAGTAATGCCTACTGCAAAATCCTCCATAGTCTCTTCCTCGACAATTTGGAAGCCTCGGAATTGGCGCTCCTTATAATCGTAATATCCATTATGATACGTGTAGTACGTTGTATGAGAAGTCTGGGCAACATCGTCCATAAATGTTATACTCTTAACACAATCGACGGCGAAGGGCAGCCGCGTGGTCCAAGGCCGGCCATGCCGTTTGGCCTCCAGGTAATAGCTAGTCGCGGAGCGATATTGTATAGTTGACCTCCCGCCCATGCCGTTATATGTGTTGGATAATAAGCCGGGCTTTCCTCCACCCATCAGGTCGATAATTCGCAGCGTGGTCGTTGTCTGGTTACCAGAAGGGCCACGAACATCTGATGTCCAACATAGACATTGTGTACCCTTTCCGTTGACGGAAAGTATGTCGGTCAGAGCAAAGCGGTCTAGTGGAGGGACAAAGGGTAGGCGGTATTCACGACTCCACCTAGTACCCCATTGGTTATAATATACTAGGGCGCCGCCCTCGGGCAGTAAATATATGAAGTCGGCACCTCCCCAGCCCGTTATATCGGCCATTCGAACGCGGAGGGGAGAAAAGTTTACCGGGTCTAACAGGGTGGGTGGTCCTAACATATCAACCTGGCGGCCAAATCTCCCATGGCCCGCGTTTGGCCAGTAGGAGATGTTGCCATTTTGGATACTTACAATATCCGTCAAGCCATCTCCTGACATGTCGCACAGAAAGATTGCTGTCGCTGGTTCAGAGGGTAGCTTAGGTGCTCCGACTGTACGCCGTTCCTCCTCGAACCCATTCGGACCCAGAGAACGGTGCCAGAACCATTCACTATCGTTGTTCGGGGGCTTGTGCAGGATATCTGCCAGCCCATCACCGGCAAGGTCCACTTGGTACTTAGTCCACCCATTCTTCGAATGGCCAAGTGTTGGATAAGACTTGAAAGGGACGAACGGCTCCCATTCGCCATCCTCGCTACGCCCATAGAACCCTTGGACTCTCCCATCGGGCGATGCCGATACCAAGTCCAGAAATCCACGGGCTTTGACATCTTCAAAATGCCACATCTCAGACTGCATAGCACTTGGGATGCTGTTTTGAAGGGTCGGTCCGCCAATCTCGGTTTTTGTCCCTTGGCTTAAGTTGGGGTGATAGTAACATCCTCCAGGCAAAGTCCCCAAAATACCTGGTGCACCGTCACCGTCCAAGTCCACCCAACTAGCTCTGCCAGAGGAAAATCCAGATAAGTTGAGCTCAAGATTTTCAATGTGCAGTGATTCTAGATCAGGGAGTTTGTTGTAATTGAACTCCATTAGCGGCAAAGACAACGTCGAATAGTCTTGCTTGCATCCATCTAGTGTATGGCCCGAGGCTGTGCAGGACTTGAGAAAGGTTGTCCCTGATTTGGGCTCAGTTTCATACTGAAAAGTTGTAGAGGCCACCAAACAATCCTGAAGTTCCAGTTCCTCTGGAATGTGGTGGAACATGAGCACTCGACTACATAGACGATATGTTCGAACCTCAAAACCACCGGTATGTATTGAAAACGGATCGTTACGAAGTTCCCATTTATTAACTGCTTTTGTAGTGGGAAATTCCTTATTATGTTCTCCGTAGTCGAGAATAACTTCAAACATCCAGTAACCTATATCCCTGTTCGGGTCTAACAGCTGTGCCTCCCAGGTTTCCAAGTCCCGATTGGGTCTCCTATTTCCGTATTTGATTGACTTAAGGTAGCGCTGGGTGGTACAGACATCAGAGTTAGACATTCCTGCACCGTCTTCAGACTTGTAAGAATAAACCATGTAGTTGCCAAAGCTGTCATATACATCGCACGAGAACCATGTAAATATCTCGTCATCTGTGCTAGATATTCCCTTTTCAGAGCAGGAGATCCGAGAGCTTGTTGTTCTGCCATATAATGTTGTGGTATTCTGTGACGTTGCAGTTTTCCAAAACATGTCTCTGGTGTTCGATTTTTTTATCCAGCATTCAATTCTTATCGGGTCAGACTCCACGCGTGGCCTATATCTCCGGACGCGATATCCGTCTCGATCCTCCTCATCAAGATCTGCTCCATTCGTGCGCAACAGAGGCACTAGCTCCCCCACACGTGAATGGACAAATATATCGCCGTCATTATATAACGGTATGCCCAGAGAAGTCTTCCGTGTAACATAGTCAACGCCTTCTAATCGCCATCCCAGACCGAAGACACCATTGGCACTGGCGGATCCTGAATCATAGACAAGATCTAGTGATGGCCCGAATCCCCTGCGGCCCGGGGTCGTATGAATAGGGATGTTGAAAGAGGCTCCCCCAGTCTGAGTATTGATATTGAACTTCTCGGAGGCCGAGCGACGGCCATCTCCCTCGGCTAGCAGGCGCCCTGGAGAGTTTTGATCCCTGTCACCACCTTTCAACGAGCTCTGGTTGTTTAGGGATGCTCTTTCAGTTTGGATCGAGGAGCGTGTCCTGGATACTGCCATTGTCTAAATCAAGCTTCCTATTCACCGCCCAGTGATCGTGATGTGGGTAGACAACACGGAATAATGGCTTGCAGCGTGAAGAATATTATTCTGTATGACTTATTTTCCAGTCAGCGCGGCATCCTCCGTGGCAATAGGAGTTGGGGCCATACATTGTGTTCTTTGGAGTTTTGTCGTCTTTGGCAGATTGGCCATTGGTTAGATTTGTCTTGAAAGGATCCCGCGTATTTGGTAGCAAATTCTATTCGGTTGCACACACCGTGGCAAGTTACTGGGGCATATAAACAAGCTAGTTTTTGGAGCAAATTTTGGGACTTACGTCATTCACATAATATGTACGTTGTTTGAGTCAATTACAGTGGGTACAGAGCCAGCTCATGGTGTATGACATGTAGACACGCATAAGGAATTTCAAACCAAGACCAGAGTATGAAAGGCCGGTACAGCAATTAAGTGCGACCCAATGTAAAGAGCTTCTGTTAACCTTGTATACAGATATACGGCGAAATAGACCTGCTCCAACGTCATGTACTACGTATTCCATTATAAGTTCTCTAAACGGGGCGACCGGAGTATCCGTAAAGACTCCACATAAATACAGCCGCTCTCGGAATGAGCCAGAATATATGATTAGACGGAGCTCCACATGCACGAATTCAAATTTCCGGATATGCGGGCGAAAGAAGTTAATTCTTTTTAGTACCAGAGCCGGTATTGGTTGCGCATGCCGTAGCATTCCAACACCTGGTTGTAGCATATTTCCATATACCGGGTATTGCTGGAAGAAACAAGAGGGTTATACCAAACCAAGGTCATTTTGCTATTTCTTGCATGAGGCCATATCCGTTTGCATAACATGTTGGCTCTAAGGTAGTCTGTTTATCGGACAGGCTATTGCCTTGTATGGAGAACATACTGAGGTTACTAGAGCAATCGCCTGAATTAGGAAGGGCCTCCTATGTCCTAGGGACTTAGGATGTACAGGTGACTCTGGTCTGTCTCGTCATGGAGTCAACTAAATGCTGAGACATGGCTTAACAGGTGTATGGACAAGCATACCGAACCGACAATGCCATTTCCTCGGAGATATCTAACTAAACTGATACGACAACTGCTATTTTCATAATGTAAACAACATATATACTGTGTTCTCTCTGTCGTGCAGGCACCTACAGTTGGACTTTGCGAATCCACCGGTCTATTTCTCATGGAGCGCAGGCTGCTTGAAGATGTAACTTTTTTTGACCCGGCCGAACGCCCCACGTGCAGAAACTAATATCTCGCACTAGAATACAATTTCAATGGAAATTATATGTTTACACTAGATTACAGCCACACGCTAACAAAGTCTCCTCTTCCGTCATCCATACTGTCTTCTCTAGCTTCGTCCACAAATTTAACGTCAATGACAAGAACCACCGGCACCAGTGGTTGGCTCTACATAATGGAGTCGGTGATACTAGCTTATATCGACACTCTAGCGATACTACAACTAGAGAAAAGGCTCGTTCTAGTTAGATGTTATATTTTCCTAAGTGGGGTTTTAGAATCCGCGTACTGTACTTTCTGTCTGTAGAACGGAACAGTAGTTAATCGCAAAGCTTAAGGCCGCACCAGGCTTGCGTAGGGAGTCCATATGACCATATTGTTCCATCCTCGAGTTTACCTCTGTCATTTGTTCCGCTTCTGAGTATTGTACTTATACATAGTACAGATTTATTATGGGTCTATGTTAGCACCACCTGAATAGAAAAATTTATCGTTGACAAAAGAATGGATATATGTCAGTTAAACTGGCTAGAGGAAACACACACCTTAGCTTGTAATCAATTATTCTTCTTTTCTCTCGACGTCCTCCAAAGACTTTCCAGTAGAAAAGAAAAGATTATAATTTCATAACTAAAGATAGCGTCCTTGACAGCTTCAACTGATGTCATATGTAACCACCCCGTGCCAAGGCACCGGAAAGGGTAAGAGTTCCAGAAAACCCAGACCGTGAACGTAAAACCTGGTACCGAATTTCACGGCCCAATGAAGCACCATGGTTACTTTTACATAGGCCAACCCTGGGAAGTCGAGATATAAAACTTTTTCTGACTACCCATCGGACACAGGAATCTTAAAATTATGTAGCGCATCTTTGTCTGTTACAGCTGTAACATCGGATCATCTCTTGCCGGAGTTAGGGCTTGATTTCCATTTGTGTTGGTACTCAGCGAAGGTCGTAAACGAACATAGCCCTGGACCCACCTGTTCTTGTTTCCAACAGCATCCACAGACGTCGCAAACAGTAAATTATCCTAATCGAACATCTGTTGGGATCTGTTCTAGAACCGCTCAACTCCGACGTTGGGAATAACGAACTGGAAGTGGGCGACTCGTATCTCGTGGTTAAGAAGAATGTTATATTGAAATACACGCTGTTCTGGAGCCCACTACTCATGGTCAAGCCTGTTGGCCACCTGGGCTTAATCAACATACCCGCTTGTCTTAGTTCCTAGTCCACGATATTTAAATGATTTCAGTCTAGTGATCACCGTGCGGGTATAGAAGTGCACATAGCTAACTTGCGGACTGGATAATTCGTATCCTAAGCTACTAGACTTTGTTTGCAGAAGGAAATAAATGACACTAACATGTTACGCATGACAGAGAAAAGTGTCCTCTGGTTTGGGGAAAGTAATTTTTGTGATTAACATACTATGCATTCACAAATGCTGAGTGGATCCGTCCACAGCTGGCTGGCCCGGAATTTAGAAAACTGGTTACGTTGTGTGCATCTGGGACGTAAGTGGATTACAAGCAGCGATCGACAAGTCCATGGCGGGACAGCTCTGTGGCGGAGAATGTAGAATGTATCCAGGAATGGAAACTTCCAGTGGTATGATTCATGTATGACATGCATGTCCCTTCCCCAAGCTCCACTCTAATAAAGTCAGCCGCTGGGGGTAGGGTTGCATCTGTCCCAATACTGGGAATATTGTGTTTAATAATGCAGTTTAAGTACGGACCAGGATGATTAGTGGTCAGCCGTGGATTAAACCGGGACGGCTGCGTACCACCGCTACATCTGAATAATAAGAAGCTGAAAGAAAAAGCGCTATAACATTTTCACATATTTTAAAGTCCTATATTTCCAGGTCGACTACAAGTGTGAATAAATCAATGGTTAGTTCATTTTTGTTATCCAGAAGAGCGAATAGAGAAAATATAGTGGAGGAATATTCCCATTGCTTCTGTATTGTCCCAACAAATGTAACTTTTTTACAGGCTACTGGCAACTTAACAGACGAAGACCTGAGAGTGCTCTCCTCAGAAGTCTTTCCCCTTGTCTTCCCCAAATCGACGAGTTTCGTCCAACAACTTGAGGACCAGCTGGTAACAACCCGCTCCCTCACATCGGCCATTGATGCAGTGCGTCCTGGACTTGACGCATCCAGCCCGGATTGGACCAATTTGGACTCACTCGGATGGCTCTACACCCTCAGCAGCTCCTCAGTTCCCATTCTCGCCTTTTGTTTCTCTCAGCCACCACTTGCTGGAGCGTCCTTCGAGACGGCAGTGACACGAAGAGAACTTGCCGAGAGTGTTATCTCTATCCCAATGGATAGCGAAGTGCTCTCAAGCAATAATAAGGGGATTTGGATGCGGCTGCGGGAACAGCTCTTCACCCAGGAAACGACATCCGTCCTTCGAGGCTTGATCTGCTCGGGAGTAATCCCAGTTATGCCTCTGGGGTGTAAAGAATATGTTCTCTCCGTCCTTCAGACAGCGACGAAGACCATCAACTTCGACATTGGAAGGCTATCCATCCGAAGAGTGTTTCCAAATATCAGCAATCCTGATGATGAGAGCAACCTCTCCACCATTGTTGGAGTGCCACGCGAGCAGCGGTCCGCAGTGATCACGTATTTATGTACTCTGCAGCGGCTGCAGGCTCTGGTAAATGAGCCTGCGGACGTCGGTGCCCTTATCCACTGTGGCTATGTGTCTGCTGATTCCATTGCCTGGCAGGGAGCATGCGCTGTGCCTTGTATTGTCGAGCAAGGCGTGCCCCAGGAACGAGCAGACGGTATCTACAACCAGGCCTGTTTTATTGCGTCGCGCAACGAGCATCTCTCGACCAGGGCGCTCACATTACGCGGCACGGGAAGCACTATGGACATTGCTATCGCTGCTATTGAATCTCAGTCTACACCCGGCAAGAGGAAGCAGGAGATCAATCTGAGTATAATGTTTGGTTTGGAGAGTATGGGCTGCGAGGAGTGCACATCCCTCACCGGGCCTGCCGCCTTCTTCGTCGATCTGCTTCATAGGTTGCAACCACCGAAAAGCAGTAATAAGCTCTCCCTGTTGGATAAGCTCTTTGAGCGTCGACCCGACCTGGGAAAACTCGAGTTGTCCTGCGCTAACACAAAGGCACTGGTGCCCTATGTCGACCTGGTCAATGAAGTGCTCGAGGAAGTGGTGTGGTACATTTACAATAAGAAAAATCCAGACATTCGACCATTCAATTCGTCCGACCAAGATACCAACGAGGGCTCCTTGATGCAACCGCACAACACCAATTTCAAAGTTTATAGCCAGATCATCCAACCGGTGGTGTCCCCATTGCACACGTTCCCCTACAACCAGGCTGTCTGGAGTACCCGAGCATATCTTACCACCCTTGGGGTCACGCGGTCCCGCTTGCTGCGGACTTTTCGGTCGCCCTATTCGATTACTGGGGATAAGGGACCAGTGGCAGACGTGAATCAGACTTTGGATAATGCTCTCTCTGCTGAAGTGCTGAATCTCCAGCATGAAGACTATGTAGCCATCACCAGGGAAGGGTTCTACCCCCTGGAACTGGTAAAGCGCCTCAGTGGGAAGGACATATCCCAAAATCAGTATGAGCAAACGATTGGCCTCAAGCCCAAGTGCCAATATTGGGGCTTCCTGACCGACAAGGATATGGTCCCTGGCAATATCACGGCTGATAAAGGGTTGACCATGGTCCAAGACGAATTACTTCCCCGGAGCGGCCTCGCCTTCCAGGATCTGCTTGGCATCGTTCAGACTAAGTACATAGGAGGGCAGTTAGCCATCGAAATCAAGAAAAAGCCCGATGGGAAAGACCCAGAGCCCTCAGAGCTGCTACGATACATGCGTCTCCGCCAGTGGAGCGATACAGAGAAGATCCAGCCCCTGAACGTGGCAACGTGCGATCGGCTTCAGGCCTTTCTCCGTCTGCACAGCAAGGTGCCATGGCCGACGGAGGAGCTGGACGCAGTGATGATGACCTTCGTATCACCAGACCAGGAGTTGACAATCACACCTGCCGTTATCGACAAGCTCGCTGCCGTCAAAAGATTAGCGGACCTCACTGGGCGCTCCCCTACCGAGCTCCAGCCGTTCTGGGGGGATATCAACACTCACGGGTCGAATTCACTTTACTACCAGCTCTTCGGGACAGCGGTTCTCCCAAAGGAGACCCGCAGCTTGCTCGCGCCGGATGACGACGGCCATGTGGTGGAAATGCAGTCTCAAGAAAGCAGGGAGGTGGAGATTGCCACTGTTCTGATGGCGTTGAACCTTACAACGGCCGAATTTAACTCGATCCGAGTCGCTTTAGGGCTGTCATCACCAGTGAAACTGACGCTGGCCAACATCTCAGCCTTCTATCGGGTGTCGCTGCTCAGCAGGATCCTGAACATACCACCGCAGACGTACACCCAACTCCTGACGCTGTATTCGAAAGACTTCAACCCCTTCCTGGACCCATACACAACACTGACCCTCGTAGAAGGGTACCCGCCAAGCCAGCCGGCAATGAGCCATTGGACTCTCGACCGTCTGCTCTTCGTGATCAAGAAGGTCCCTAGTGCAACCGATGAGGCGTGCCGGACCACAGTCGACCAGCAGATCACAATCGTCCAGTCGTTGCGCTCCAGCTTGAATGACCGCACGCTGCAAGAGAGCAAGAAGAAAATGAAGAGTGAGGATGCTCTACTCAGCCTGCTGGACGAAATCATCATCGACGCTGAGGCCCGACAGAAAATCGTTCGGTTCATCCAAAGAGGCAGCGAAGGGGATCCCAAATACTTTGTCGAACAGCTAAGTGGCATCATCGGCAAAACAGAGGCTACGGAGCTATACCAGAAGATTAAGGAAGCCTCAGCTGGCGGGAACCGACGGGATGTCTTCCTCGAGGCCTTCCTCCCAGCTCGATATCGCGAGCAGCAGTGCCAAGCAATCCTGAAGTCATTGATGCCTTTATTTCCTAGTTTTAACATGGCGTTACTGCGATTTTCGCTCGAGAACCTAGTTCAGATCGAAGACAATCCTCAATTGTCCGGGATAGATGCATTACTGACAGTCGTAGATCCATTACCGACACTCGTTGATGATAGTAGTCTCTCCGCGTACTTCCGTCCACCGACCACGGACAGTTATCAGATCCTGTCTACGGCTGAGGAGGAACCCAAAGGGTCGGTGCTGGATGAAGCACCGCTCAAGTTTGAGAAGCAAAAAGACGACCGCCGGCCGCAATGGGTAGCCACCACCCAGCCGCTCACCGGGGGCCGTTGGTACCGCTTGCGTTACAAGGGACAAGCGGGTGACTTGAGCTGGCGAGCCGACAAGGCAAAGCAAGGTAGCCAGCCGGCCGCTTTTACCGAGGCCGAACTAGTGGCCGAAGAGACCGTCAACCTCGTGGCGGCGGTCATGGTAGACCTGATGCGGATCTCTCTCCTAGTCGACCAGTTTCGCCTCCATTCCGCCGAGGGCGACTTCGGGAGCGTCATTCAAATCCTCAAGCTATCCCGACCGAACGAACGGCTCAGCCTAAGCCTCCGCTCGATCACGGCGTTGGAGGACTATCTAGAGCTCCGGGACTCGTTCACGCGAAATGGCGCCACTCTTCCGCTGCTGGCGCTCTACAAGTGGCTCATTTCCTCCGCTCCAGGGAAGCAAGAGGGCCAGGACGACGTCCGGGGGGAACTGGCCAAGAATCTGGCCCACGCGACCGGATGGCCCCCGAGTTTCTGCACCAACTATCTCCGATGTAGATACAAGGAATACGACATGGCAAACCTAGTTCGGCTATTTCAAGATGTGGCGGCTCTCCAGCAGATGCATGGGGTGGTTCTGTTCATTCGGGACCTCGGTCTTCCTAGCCTCTCTCTCACATCGCTCTTTGACATGGCCCGACCGGCCTGGGAGGACCTGGTTCTGGCAGACTTTAAAAACGCTGCGGCCCTCCGCATGGCCATCCAGTCGAAACGATTCTCCACTCCCTCTACCGGCGGCCGGACGGCGCTCGCAGATGCTAGCGACAGCATTCGAAGTACCCAGAGGGCGGCCCTGACCCACTACCTACTCACCACGCCCTACGCCGCGGAAAAGGGCCTGCGGGAGGCAGACGAACTCTTTGGGTATTTCCTAATCGATGTGCAGATGGGCCCCGGACTGCAGACCTCCCGCATTAAGCAGGCTATCTCGTCGGTCCAGCTGTTCGCCCAACGATGTGCACTCGGGTTCGAAAAAGGAGTGGGATCCACGGTGCTAAACCGGGCTGTCCTGGAGTACATGCTGCGGTACCGGCTCTGGGAGGCCGATCGCAAGGCTTACCTGTATCCGGAGAACTGGGCCGACCCGACGCTGCGCGACAACAAGACCGAGCAGTTCCAGGCGCTCGAGTCCGGTGTGATGCACGCGAAGCTGGACCGCGAAAGCATCGCAAGTCTCGTCAAGGACTATGTGCACAGCATCAACGAGATTGCCAACCTGCGCGTGGAATGCTACGTGATCGAGGAGCAGCAGACACCAAGGCGGGACTACTTCCACTTCTTTGCTTGCACACGGACCTCGCCGCCAGTGTTTTACTACCGGAATACGTTCATCCGCCAGGGCCGGGGGGAAGTGCGGACACCCACTTGGTCCTCGTGGACCCGGGTGAACCTCGACGTCCCCGTGCAGGAAACTGGCGCCGATGGGAAGCGGCTTGCGAGGCCGGGGTCATATATCATCCCTGCCGTCCATCGCGGACGTCTCTATGCCTTTTTTCCCGAAATCACCGCAACCCAAAAGGATAGCTCTAAGATACAAAAAGGCACAAAATTCTCAGAACTAGCTAATAAGTCAATATCTAGCACCCATCCGGACCGTTGGTGGGAGATTCGCATGGGTTTCATTGAGCGGCGCAACGGAAAGTGGTCCCCCAAAACGGTCTGCCGGTCCGCCATCAAGGTGCAGGTCCCTCCAGTCGACAATCCGCCCGATGTCGCTGATTTCAAGTTCTGGATCACGCATAACGGCAACGATGCGAAACCTTTGACGGTCACAGCCGAATGGACGACCACAGCCGAATGGACGACCACATTCGAGACCACAGCCGAATCGACGGGCCCTAAACTTGTTCATTGGGACCTAGGATATTTTCAGCTCCGGGGCCAGGAGCTGATCCTCGTCAAAGGAGAGGATGGCCTCCCCGTGCCCGAAGTCATAGTAGATAAGACAGAAACAGCGGAGCTGCAGACCATCTCGACCAAGTTTTCGCGATACACAAGTCGGAATCGGAACCCAGCCGACGAGATGAAAGTGCAGTACAAGGATGGAAAAAGCAAAAAAGACATCACCTTCAGGGTCGGCAAACCGCCGACATTTCCCGATTCTGCCAAAGGCGAGTGGTTGCTGGATTTCAGCTACCCCTCTCAGTACACGGCCAGCGCACTGGTGATGGAAATCTCCACCTCCACCATCATCGAACAATACATTGATCTTCGGGAGACCCATTTTTTCCGAGTCGACCGCATGTTCAACCGGGTGGCCCCCCAGTTGGCTGAAAGTGCTAGATGGGAAGACGGTTTGGAGCGCGTGTACAACTGTCTGAAGCAAGTCCAGCACCTACAGACCCCTGGCGACGATCCCCACGAAGACGCATTTGGCCGGTGGATTGAGAAGAAAAACAACAACAAACTCGTCCACTACCACGAACGGGCCGCACCGTTCGCCATCTACAACTGGGAACTGGGCGTCCATATCCCGTTACTTATCGTTGAGCGGCTGATGGCCACGCAACAATTTGAGATGGCACTGAAAGTGATCCGACTGGTCTTCGACCCCAGCATGGATGGCACTGACATCAACCGCTGCTGGTCGTTCCCCCATTCCAACAAGACTCCGTTCGCAACCCGGCCTTCACTCCAGACCAGGAGAAGTCAGTCAGTGAATGGCATGATAGCGGAGGCAACGTCCATGCGGCAGCGCGGTCGTACCCAGTTGCCTACATGAAGCGGATTGCCATGAAGTACATTGAGCTGATGATTGCCATGGGGGACGAGTATTTCCGGCGCGACACCTTGGAGAGCATCCCGCTGGCAATTCAGATGTACACAGAGGCATCCCAGGTCTTCGGGCCGCAGCCGGTGGAGATCCCGCAGCTGGGGAAGCGCAAGGTAATGTGCTATAATGACCTGAAGGGGTACCTGACGGCGCTGTCCAATGCTACCGTCGATCTGGAACTGGACTTTCCCTACTACGTGGCCCCGGGGAAACGCGGCGCCGATACTCCAATAAACCAGCCATCACGTGGCTACCTCAAGACAGGTTATTTCTGCATCCAGGGCAATCCCATGTTGATGTCCCTCCGAGACCTGATCGACGACCGGCTGTACAAAATCCGGAATGGGATGGACATCAACGGACGCAAGCGAACTCTGCCGCTATTTGAGCCTCCGATCAACCCGGGAGCGCTCCAGCGAGCCAAAGGCCCTGGAGGCGGGGGTATCGCGGGCTTCCTCCGGGATCTGGAGAGTCCGATGCCCCGGTGTCGCTTCCTCGCGTTAATTTCGTATGCTCTGGACCTGGTGAGCGAGCTGAAGACCGCGGGCCAGCAAAGGCTGAGCATCCGGGAAAGAAAAGATACTGAAGCCCTTTCTCTGCTAAGGTCTAGCCATCAGCGGGCCGTGCTTGCACTGGTACTGCGAGTGAAAGAGCGGCAAATGGCCGAGGTTCATCGGGCCATTGAGGTGCTAGAGGAGACGCGGAAGCAACAAGAGATGCGTCTGGCGTACTTCATGACCCTAACTGGCGACAGCGGCACTAAGGAAATCCCAGCGACGGGCGCCACCTGGCAGGATATACCCCAAAATATTGAGAAGCCCCGGATGGATGACTTCCGCATGTCTCCCTTCGAGCAGGAAGCAATGAGCAAGGCCGATGAGGCATCCGACTGTATGCTGGGCGCCATCGGTATTGAAACCACCGCCTCGGTGGCCTTTGCCTTCCCCGAAGTGGGTATCAAAATACAACCTCTTGGGGCGGGTGGAGATACGACTTATGGTGGACAGAATGTTGGGAATCTCCTGCAAGCATTGGCCGGGGTCTCCAGAGGATTTAGCCAGCGGGCTTCGGATGATGCCGAGAAGGCCGGCCGCAAGGCCACGGCCATCCAGCAGCTGCAGGAGCGCCGGCTGGAAGCCAACACGATTGGGCGCGAACTGGTCCGCATTGACAAGAATCTCGTCCAACTGCGCGCCCAGCTGGACACGTCCCAGGCGGACATGCAGGCCCAGCAGCAGGAGATCGACAACGCCGCCGCCGAAGATGAGTGGCTGCGGACTAAATACACCAGCACTGAGCTGTATACTCTCCTGGACAATGCCGTGGGCACGCTGTTTCACCGTACCTACCTGATGGCGATGGAGATGGCCAAGACGGCCAAGCGGGCGTTGGACTTTGAACTGGCCATCGGATCGACGACCGGTGATCCGTCAGGTGCATCGCCCGCAACCCTCGCCACCGGGTACTTGGAGACATCGCCGGACGGTCTGTTGTCCGGCCAGGAGCTGTGGCTGGACCTGAAGCGCATGGAGGCCGTCTACCGGGAGACCAACACCCACGATTACGAGATCGCCAAAACCGTGTCTCTCCGCCAGATTAATCCGCTGGCCCTCCTCACCCTGCAGGAAGTGGGCAACGCGGAGTTTGATATCCCGGAAGTCCTGTTCGACCTGGATTTCCCTGGCCACTTCTGCCGGCGCATTGTATCGGTAGCCGTCTCCATCCCATGCATCGTTGGGCCAAACACCAACCTCAGCTGCACCCTCAGTCTTAACCAACACAAGTATCGCATCTCGTCCAGTGCAGTGGGATACGATGCCCAGAAAGCCGCCAACTTTCGGACCGACCGCATCCCCATCACCTCTATCGCCGTGAGCAGCGGCATACAGGACACGGGTGCCTTGGATCTGGGCTTCAGGGGCAACGAGCGGTACGGGCCGTTCGAGGGCGCTGGCGCCATTTCCAGCTGGCGCATCTCTCTCCCGGAGACGCTGCGGCAGTTCGATTACAGCTCCATCACCGACGTCGTCCTACACCTGCGGTACACGGCGTTCGGGACAGGTGGCCCTCTCGGGAAGAGTGCGTCCGATGCCGTGAAGAACTGGACCACACAGTCCTCCATCCCTTCCACTGGCTCAGAGTATGGGAAAGTCAAAAAGGTGCTGGCCATCAACCTGGCCAATGACTATCCGTCTGAATGGCAACAGATCTGCTTGACGGGCACGACGACGCTACGGAATCTCGATCAAAGGCTGCCCTTCTGGGCACGCACCGCAAAATCCGTCAACTCGAGCGTTACGACTCTATTCATCACACCCAAGCCAAACAGCAACCCGACGATATCAGAAAACAAAAGCACTAGAACGCCTAGCCAATTGGGTAGATACTGGACGTATCAATTCGGGAAACTGGACGTTTCTAAGCCTTGGACTATTAAAGATCTGAAGCATGAGAAAGACAAAGGCTTCCAGCGCGCTTGGCTGCTTATACAATATTCAATTTCACTTGGTGGTTAATTCTTTATTATACAGAGCAGGTGTTCTGTGATAAGAGAAGGGTAGGCGATAGTTTACTCAAGCGGCAGTTGCGTGAGAAAAGGAAATATTTTTATTTTTTTTGGATGGGATCTACATATTATGTATCTTTCTGCGTTGACATAGACAACTTGTTGGTATATTGATTGCCCAGTAATTCGTCCACTTGATAGATACGGATTTTCCCACATGGCTCTATCGGGTTACGGGTTAAGTCGGTAAGCAAGTTCATATAAAGAGGATATCCGATGTCCCGGCCTGTCCCTGCGGTTATTATTTCGCCACAACTGTTCAAGTTTGTTGTAATTCGGGGGAAGATTGAATTGTTCTATTCTCATCGTAAACTTGAGGGTTTATATACGGGATGGGTGTCAGAATATTCAATTGCCTCTCGAGGAGGAATTGATAATAATTTCAATTAAAATAGGCCCGAAGAAGGGAAAAGCGCCTGCTAGAGAATCTCCATACTGTACTGTAGGTCACTACCTGCCGCCCGACACCGCCTGCCCATCAATTTCAACACACCACCGCAATGTCGAAAGTGAAGCTTTTGAGCCACATACAATTTAAATTATACCGAGATCTTTTTAGGTACTGAAACTGAGGTTCTAAAGAAGCTATGTACAAATTTTAATCGCTCCGAAAGCGATGTGGTAGCCGGATCTGCCTTCCTCGGCGATTTACCGTGATAGAGGCCTCTCCAACAACTTCAGGTGCTGGAACAACAATATCTTCCTGATTCTTTGCTTTTGGAGTTGCCGGAGGATTCTTCTTGCATTTTCTGGACTATTTAAAGTCATTTTGAAGCTGTATATTGGCCTCTTTAGCCAACCGATCCTCTTCCTTCTGGCGTTTCTTTTCCTCCGCTGCTTGGGCCGTATCTCTTGATTAGATGCCCTGATTCTTTTCCTTTCTTCAATTGATTGTTGTTTCTTTTCCTTTTCTAGCTGACGGCGTAGCTTCTCTTCCTTTTTTTAAGCCTTTGAAAGCTGTATTTGCTTCTCTTTTTCTGCTTGAAGATCCCGAGCTTGCTGGATTTTATTGGGAGAATGGAATACTGCATTACCATCCTCAGGAGCCCGTAATTCAAACTGTAAAGGCTTTGCACGTTGGCGTCTCTTTTGTTCATTCTGGAGAGCCTTCTGGAGGTCCCTATTCTGTAGCTTAAGCAGGATATTCTCTGTAGAAAGATAATGCATCGTTCGGCTCAACATTTTAGTGTTTTGGTCCCGGAAGTCTGCAAAAAGTTCTCTAAGAAGCTGTTCAATCTTTCTCCAATCCTCTGCTTGTATAACAGACTTAGAGGAACTGCTAGAAGAAGGTCTTTTATCCTCTAACTTGCTAAACCGTGCCAATACCACTTCAGGATTAAAAGGCCATAACCCAACAGTTCTCCACGCACTTTCAATATTTCCCTGCAGATAAGGCCTTCGTCCAGCTTGGCCAGAATAGCCTGAAGAAATCCCGCTTGGTAATACGGCTTAGGCCTTGAGATTCATGTAAATGCTTCCAATTGACCTCCGTAGGCTGCTGAAAGCGGTCCAAAGACACTGACATCAAGCGGCTGCAAGGAATGCGTAGAATGAGGTGGATAGGTCGCCACAAAATCTTATTAGCCTCACAGTAGTTTAAAACTTCATGGTAACATGGGATCCATGGCCATCAAGAATTAAGTGCCTCCAACGCCTCCTAGCTTTGGCCTTTGTTTCCCGGTCAAATATTTGCTGAAGCCATGCAAATCCTAGCTCATCTTGGTCCAGCCAGAAGGTGAAGATGCAAAGAAACATTGCTGGTTTGTAGTATCAAAATCTTGAAGCCAGGAGTCTTGTAGTTTACCAGATACCGCTTGGTATATCAAACCAGGAGAAAGAAAAGTCTGGTCTGCACAAATACAAGCAATTGTAGTAATCCACTCCCGATTACCATCCTGTAGGCGTTGCTTGAGGCCTCCTTGCTCATATAATTGCCTAGAAAAGATTCTCTTGCCCTTAGGAAGCATCCCAATAAGAAATCCTTTCTCATCCATATTGTACATATCCTCTTGCTGTATATTGTATTCCTTGATTTTCCGGCCCAGATACTCAAAGTATAAAGCATATTTAAATGCAGGATCAGCCCGCTTGCGTGCAGAATCAATACTAGTTGTATAGCAAGATATAAGGTCCTTTTTATGCCTTTCTAAGAAGCGGCCCGGCCAGTTCTTTCCTGGCTTTGTTCCAGCAATTTCCTTTGCAAAATTCCGTAGCATCTCATGCGTATAATAAAGGCCTCGCTCCGATTGCTTATTTATAAAGGACACAAGCTCTTTGGCCTGCTGGTTGTTGAGGAATCGCTGGTCTTCATATTGCTCCTCCCTCGGCTGCTGAACTCCGCGGTGACGCCTTGATAGCGTTGATCGATCAACACCAAACCGTTTTGCAATTTGAGTATAGTTAATCCATTCTCCTGGTACCAACAAATTGATTGCAGCTAACGCGGCTTCCATTGAAGCCATATTGAATGAGATATGGTAAATTAAACATCTACGTTTGTAAAGTCGGTGAGTAAAGATTTTGGGCGGCAGGCGGTATCGGGCGGCAGTTGGTGATCTACAGTACACCTGGCCTGTGATGAATCTACTTGGTCGGGTAGATCAACCGGTCAGCTAGGTAAGATAGTAGAAAAGAATATGAAGCTGTGTTTCAAAAGTCATGAGCGACACTAAAAGTCTTAGCTGTAATGCCACCGTACCGATTCCCATACTAATTTGTATGACCAGCCAGACACGGCATTCTAGGAGCAGATAGATTATTATACAAAAAAAATGAAGCTATTCAGACCCGAAAAAGTAAGGTTTTTGCACCTAAAAGAGAGGACCCTGTCCGAGATCCTTTCGCTTTGATAAATGACCCCGTAGCCGCATACCTTTAAAGTCACGGTTATCCTCCCCTGTACGGCCTTCTTGATATTCATTTCCTCCTTCAAGCTCTATAATACCCTGTATATGGCGTACCAATCGCTCAATCCAGTGTTGTATATCCTCTTGAGGCATCTCATTCCAAGCAGCGACCCAAGCAGATTCTGCAGTCTTTTTCTCTTGGAGCCCCTCTTGAAGTTGTTCGACGCGTAAGATATGCCCACGCAAATTCAATTGCATTTAGATCAGGCGAATTCCCTGGCCAATCCAGAATTCGTTGTACATTATGGATATTGTATACTGTATGTTGAAAATGATGGCGATGAGCTGGGGCTCCATCCTCTAATACAATAGTATTTCGACGCTCGATCATACATTCTTTTGCAAAGGGGATTAATTTGGGGACGGCCCTGTAGCTGATAGAATAGCTCCCTACGCCCCATTTCCCCTGAGTTCCACAACATTGGTTATGAGCCCGGGTTTGCAGCGTCTGCTTAACAACCAGGCCTTTGCACCCCGGGAGCTTATATAGGCTTACAAACCCTATCTAAGCACGCAAGTGAAGCTATTCATCAGCGTGTGTGTCCTCAACATCCAGGACAGTGGCTAGGACCGATCAACCTATCTACCAGTCGGAGTTGGGTAATATTACCACGCCTTCCTACCGCCGAAACGATTAGATGTCAGAGAGGGCTCGGGATCCCCGGGCAGGACGATTTATATCAAGCCGGGAGAACACTGAGGGACCAAGTACAGACCCGAGCGCCGCATCGAGTGAGGATCCCGTGGCGATCCCACTACCAGGCGATTTCCTTGAGGTGGAAAGTGAACCTGAAGAGGGTAGAAACCCTAGAGAGGAGCTAAGAGAGGCTTCTAAAGAGAATAGAGACATTCCGAGTGAACAACTCCAGAGCGAACTAGCAGTCAGAATGGTGACCCAAATTCCACGAGCGCCTACCTCTGAGACGGTTAGATTAGAACGATTTAAGATATCGACCTCGAGCAAGAAAAACGTACGGACATGGAAATCAGAAGTGGAGGAGTTTTGCCGTATACAGAGATGCTGGGAAGCAGTGAAGCAAACCTTGGCTAGGCAGGATAAGCAAGATGAGCTGAAGGAATTGCTGGAGGATGAAGACTGGAATGCCCTGGATGCGAAAGCAAGACACTATATCAAACAGAATATCCAGGATGAAGACAAGACAGCTGTACGCGATTTGACAAATTCAGGTGCAGTCTGGAAATATCTAATGAATAGATATGAGAGAATAACACAGTATGATGTGGTTATTGCACTCCGAAGAGTATCACAATGGAAGAAGGATCCCAATATGGATATCGAATCATCTCTTCAGCAGCTGGAGCAATGGAGTGCGGAACTAGATGAAGTCAGTAACCGTGAAATAAAGTTTAACGAGCTTACCATCTTAACATTTTTCTTGGATGGATTACCGGATGAATATGACTTTATTAGAGATGCCTTATTTGGCAATGCTGTGCTTGAAAGGGGATTAGTCTTACCGACTGCAACAAAAGGAGCTGAAGTCAAATAAGACTGGCAACACCGGTACCGAGACTACTGGCGAGTTGGCAAATCGAGCAAAACAAATAGAATGCTGGAACTGTGGCGAAAAGGCCAGGCAATGGAATTGCAAAGCTCCAAAGAAGGAGAAAGGCAATAGAGATCATCCCAGAGAGATGCGAAAGACCGCGGGCAGAAAGGAGACCGCGGGCAGAAGGATAAGAAGAAAAAAGTCCCGGAAAGCCAAAGCTAGATTCGCAGAAGAAGAAAAGGACTCGGATAGAGAGCGATCTAGCGATGAGGAAGAGCCCGCAAATGAGAAAGGCTATAGGGTGTATTTAAACGAGCAGATCAGCAACCAATTTACGCATCTAATTGATCAGGATGATCAGGAGAAGGCCTACCGCTTAAAGGGGAGCAGAGACCCCATAATCGACAGCGGTGCAACCAGTACGGCAAGCGGAGACATCAGAAGCTTTAGATCTCTGGACCAGAGATATGGTGGAACCCTTGGAACAGCAGGAAAAGCAATAAGGATTGCAGGAAAAGGCACAATGCAGATATCTTTAAGCAGTGGGAAAACAGTGAGAATCCCAAATGCTTTATATGTGCCAGGCATGAAAGAGACCCTGCTTTCAACGCAAGCTTTGTATGCAGATGGCATCTGGAACGAGCATACCGAGAAGGGATACCGATTCTTCCGCAAGCGAGGCAAAGAGAATATTATTGCAACTGGGTACAATATTGGCCGGACAAGTTACCTGGGATGGGTAAAGAGTAAAGATGTATTAGCTGTTCAGTCCCAGGAGTGCAAGGAATGGGATGAAACTGCAAGGCTGATAAAGCAGGTGGATTGGGAACTAATCCACAGAAGACTTGGACACCCAGGACGGACCAGATTCAGGCAGTTAATTAAACAGTGGGACTTACTGCAAAGGAAGCTATAAAAAGCTTACAGACCTGTGAGACTGCATACAGGCAAAAGTGCGAAGAAACAAAACCATGAAGAGGTTCCAAGAGCGTTAAGACCGCTGCAACGAGTTTATATGGACTTTTTTGGGGACCATATAGTAAAACCAAATGCAAAGAGGGATGGAGACATTATCTTTCACTGACAGATGACCATACACGGTTTTCATGGGTATATCTAACCAAGGACCGAAAGGTAGAGACCGTCCAGGAGACTCTAGAAGCATGGTTAGCTCAGGTGGAGCGGGAGAAAGGAGTCAAGCTCCTGGTGATACGCACAGACAATGCAAAGGAATTTTATGCATTGAAGACATGGGCAGAAAAGCTGGGGATTCAATTGGAGTTTATTGAGCCAGATACACCTCCGCAAAAGGGTGTTGCAGAGAGATTGAATAGGCTATTATTGGAGATAGTTCGGGCAATACTAATCGGGGCAGATATTCCAAAGGGATACTGGCCATATGCAATCGAAATGGCAAACCACCTACGGAATAGGACTATACAGGTTAGAGACACCAAGAAAACCCCGTTTGAGCTTTGGAAAGGCCACCCACCAGATATCTCAAATTTCGAACCCCATTCTGCAGAGTTTGGTTTCACCGGAACCAAAGGATGGTGATAAGCTTGAACCAAGAGCAATAGAGGGAGTCTTTATTGGCTATGAATCAAGCAGGAGTCATTACCTGTATGACTAGAAAGGATCGACAATCCATCGAGTACGAACCCCATTTTCTGGAAGACAAGAAGGTTTTATCAGCAGAGAACCAGGAAGCAGAGATATTGGGGAAGAGTCAAGATACTAACAGGCTTTTGGAGAAGGCCAAGATAGGCAGAGGCAACCGCTGCCTCAAACCAGCTCAGGAAACATCCAGATACCTTATATATCTGCAGGACACGCAGATAAGAATCAAGGAGAGAAGGAATCTGCAGAAAACAGTCAACAGGTTGATGACCAGGTTGATGATGCAGAGGTTGAAGAGGTTGAGGAGGTTGAAGAGGTTGAAAATGAAGATCAACAAGCAGACAAAGAAGACCACAACCTGTCACCTGACCAACCGAATCAGGAAGGTCACATGCAGAGAGATATTCAGCAATCCCCTCAACCACCGCAACTGCAACTGCAACTGCAGCCGTCGCAACTAACCCCCGAAAACACCTCTGATTTGCGCAGGCCAAGCAGAATTCGAAAACCTTCGCAAGCGGCAATCGAATTTAACCAGACAGAGGCAATATATGGGCGAAAACCACGTGCCCAGAAGCGCAGAGAAGAGAGGGAGGCAGCAAAAGAACCTTCTCCGCGCATATCCACTGCAGAACTGCAGCGAATCCATGAAGTTGCAAACCTAGCTGTAGCGCTAGAGCTTCATCTTGGTGACAACAATGAGTTTGCTTTCAGAACCAAAGCCAAGGCTAATAGCAAGTTCGACGGACAGATTCCAATCCCGAAGACGTACCAGGAAGCAATATCTGATCCTGTTCATGGATCCCAATGGAAAGAAGCAATCCGGACTGAATTGAGCAACCTAATCCGCTTCGGAACATGGAGATATGTCAAGAAACCAGTCAACCAAAAGGTTATCTCCACCAAATGGGTATTTGATGTCAAATACTCTGCGGACGGACGTGTGGATCGATTCAAGGCACGCCTTGTTGCTCGAGGCTTTTCCCAACAAGAAGGATTAGATTTTGAAGAGATTTTTGCACCAGTGGTACGATTGGAAAGCTTGCGGATTCTATTTGCACTAGCTGCAACATATAATCTAAAAGCTCATTTGCTGGACGCCACAAACGCCTTTGTTGGATCAAAAGTGGACAAGGAGCTCTATATGGAGATCCCAGAAGGAATTGATCCAAAATCCCACAATCCAAATGATGTTTGCGAGCTCTTACAATCCTTGTACGGGCTGAAGCAATCTGCATACCTTTGGAACCAAAAGGTTAAAGAATTCGTCACATCTATTGGATTCAAGCAAAGCACGGCAGACCCGGGAGTCTTTATTAATAACCGCGGAGTTATTATAGCCTTATATGTGGATGATATCTTAGTCTTTAGCACAGATCCAAATGATCTGGATGCTACTAAGAGGAAACTGAAGGAGTTTCATCCCATGAAAGACTCTGGTCTGGTACAAAAGATACTAGGGATTCGGATAACCTGGGGAAAGGACTTATCCAGCTTGACCAGGAGTTCTATGCATACTCTATTTTGGAGGAATTTGGAATGCTAGATTCAAGAGATCAAGATCTTCCATTAAGTCCCAGCATTGATCTGAATGATGAAAATTCCCGCAGACTAACCCGGGAACTGCATGAAAAATATAGGAAAATTATTGGATGCTTGACATACTTGGCTGGTGGAACCAGAGCAGACATTCAATTTCATGTCAACAGATTAAGCCAACATCTTGCAGAACCCAGGGATATTCATCTTCGAGCATCGAAACACATTCTCCGATATGTGAAGAAGACTATAAGTATAGCATCAAGTATAGCTTAAAGGGGAGGGAGGAACAATGGGATTAATTGGACACTCTGACTCATCATATGGAAATGCAACAAAATGTCGCTCAACCAGTGCGTACATATTTTGCATGGCCGGAGGACCGATTAGCTGGTGCAGTAGAAAGCAGCCCATAACTGCTACGTCTACTACTGAAGCTAAATATATTGCTGCTGCAGAAGCTGCTAAGCATGCAATCTGGATTAGACACTTTCTTATAGCTATTCGCAAGCCATGCGGAGCAGTTAGATTAGGTGTTGATAACCAGGGAGCTTTGGCACTTGCAAACAACCCGGTTAATCACCTGCGGAGCAAGCATATTCGCATCCGATACCATGCAATCAGGGATTTCATTGAACATGGTGACATTAAGGCAATTTATATTCCTACATCTGAAATGCTTGCGGATGGACTCACAAAGGCTGTACGGGTCGAAGGATTGAAGCAAATGGTCAAGAAGTTGCAACTAAATGGGTTGGAGAACTAAGATCCTATGGATGCAACATCTAGGATCTTCAGATTGATTATTAGAGGCGTTCAACACCCCTCCGCAATTGTTTTGTCTTATTTCCTGTTTTGGAAGTCTGTATGGCTTCATTTCATTCATTTATGGAAAGGCTACGGGGTAATGAACGAAGGGGAGTGTTACGGAAACACTATAATCCACCCGACTTGGCGGTGCGGAGTATCTGACGATCGATTCAACCCCTGAATCCTTTAGATACTTGAGCACCTAGATAGGAATGCAAGAGACTCAGTTGGTTGAGATACTGTGATTCCTGGTGTTTCCACCGAAGGACATCTACTTCCTAAGACGGCTAGTTGGCCTGTAGCTGATAGAATAGCTCCCTACGCCCCATTTCCCCTGAGTTCCACAACAGTTTACAAGCTCTTCAAGCGATGTCTTTGTCAAAATAGAATCCAGTTGTTCCACCATGCTCACGCCGTGACATACTTGTCCTCAAATTCTTCCGAGTCCTCACTTTCTTCCCCCCCAGATACCTCAACTTCACTACCAGAAAATTCATCATCACCCTCCCAAATTGGTTCAATTGGGGATTTCTGGTTATAGAAATTATTAAGTTCTTGATCCAAGGCCTTACTAGAAGCGCCAATTAATTTCAGTTCATCGCGACCGTGTCTTAAAACTCGTTCTTCAAGAGAATTAACCAGGCAGGACTGGCGATGCCTCCAGCATGAAAGAATAGAATCCTAATTAATGTAAGTATCTTTTCTTAATCTGTTACCAAAGATTATTACTTTTGGGGTGGTTATAGTAGCTGGCTTAGAGGAGATCTCAGCCAAAATCTTGCGAGCTGCTTCATGTTCTTTTGCAGCTATTGCTGCTTCTTTCTGAGCCTCCTGGAGCTGAAGCTGCTTTTCATACCACTCTTTGGACCTCTTAGCATTAAACCTCTCTTGCCATAACTGCGCAAGGGCATTATCCTCAAGCTGTTGTTTCAGTGACTCAGGTGCTGATTTCCTATATATTTCTTAGGCTCCATGGTTGTTACTAAAAGCCGTTACTACATACCAGATTCCAGTTTCCTTGAGCTTTTTAAGACAGTCGAATTTCGCTTTGCGGTCAGCATCATGTCTTTTCTGCAACTCCTTCTCAGGGCCAGTCTTTGCTTGACGACGGTTCCTTGCCTTCACCACTCGTTCAACAGTAGATATTTTGCGAGGCATTGAGAACTGGTGGTAACAGCGCTTGGTAACAAATATAAAGAGAGGGTGGTTAAACTGCAGGCTGGAAAATAAAGAAATTAGATGCTAAGAGTAATAGAGGACAAGGCTAGGAAGAGAATATAAGGTAAGTAAAGAAACAAAGGAGATAAAGAGAAAAAAAAAATTGGTTGCCTAGGACTTAGTGAATAAATGAGGTTTTGTTTACTTATTTAATCTTTCTTACCTCCTTTTACTACTGATACATTCTTTTATTTTACTCTTCTTGCCTTCCGTTGTTGTCTCCTTTCTTCATATCTTTTCACCTCTTTCTTGCATTTTCTTGTTACATTGGTCTGTTACCAGTGATTTTCTTGACAAAATGCCACCAAAAGGTAGAAGGAATACTGGTGGGAAGAGATTACCAGGTCAGACTGCTGGAAAAACTGCTTCAAAAAGCCCAAGCGTACTCCACGTGTTCAAGGTAAGGGAAGCTTGGCTCTCTTTAGTAACGAAATATAGTAACAGTTTTAGCCTTTGAAAAGGATAACGATGATTTAAACGAGGCTTTTATTGAACAGTACAAAGCATGGCATGTTCGCGCGGCTGAATGGGTTCTTGAGGAGAATGGTCGTACTGTGGATGATTATACCTCTATTGAACCAGCGCCTGTCCCAGACCTTTCCAACGAGATCCTTCCTAGTAAGTATTAACTAATCTATTTAGTAACATATTTTACTAATAACCGCTTTAGAGTCTGAGCGGGAAATTCGTCACTATGCAAACCAAACTGGCTTTTTATTCCCAAATCTACATTTGGACGCCTTGTCCGTGAAGCTGTGAAGAAAATCACCCCGAGTTTCGTGTGAACCCCAGGTAATTGATGCTCTGCAGGAAGTTACTGAAATAAGCATAACTCATTTGTTTGCCTGTAAGTAACAGTTTCTAGTAACAGTATAGACTACTAATATTTAATAGGTTCAAATAAACTTACACGTCATGGAAAACATGCAAGTCTTATGGTTGAAGACATGCGTCTTGTTCTCAAGATTATCCAGGAATCTTCACAGTCTTCACAGATGGTTGGCTTGCAACCTCAGGGCCCTTCTAATGCCCCAAAAAACTTACTACAAAGAAAAGGGAAGCAATCAAACATATTAATACAGATTACATGACACTGCGCTTTTCCTTCGAGATGCTGCTATAGTGGTCATGAAGGTCGTATGCCCCCACGACCATTGACTACATCTCAGATTTTGCAACTTGAGGAGGACAGTCGTCGCCGTGCTCTTGCTTACCAGAATACTACCGAACAGAATACGAGACATAATAGCTCTTATCAGGACGATACTGCTACTCAATTTTGTTACGAACCCAGTTATATTATGGTGCATGATTCTGATATTAATTCAGACGAGGATCCCGAATTCGAGGGTGAAATGGACCTTGATAAATCAGAATCAGACTTAGAGTCAAGCTCTAATTCATCAACGGAATTTGGAGAGCAGGGCGACGGTGAGCAGAGCGAAGGTGGGCAAGGCGACAGTGAGAGGGTGAGAGTGAGCAGGGCGAGAGTGAGTAAAGCGACGGTGCATAGGGACAAGGCTAGTAGGTGACAGATCGGTGGGACAGTTCTATGGTGTTTATATTTTATGTGAATACTGTTACGAACTTCTGTTACTTTAGTTTATATTTCATGCCTCACTACTCACTGAATATATGGAGGATCAATACATGGGTATTGTGTACATTAGAAACAAGGTAACAGACTTTAGTAACAGTAAAGGTAGAATCCCAGAAGTTTCCCTTCCCTTGCCAAGACTTTCGGGAAGGGATTCCCATTATATGGGATTCGGGATGGGATATTCCCATTCCCATATACTTAAAAGTTCTGGTCCCGTTTGTGTCAGGGGAGTCCCATGGGATGGGAATGCCTTTAGAAATAAGAATATGGGAATTTCCCTCCTAAATTTTTAATGTCCCGAAATAATCCCTTCCCGATCTTGGCACGGGACGGGATATTCCCTTTGGACCCTTTCCCAAAAATTTCAAAAAATCGTCCCGATTTTTTTGGGAGGGAATCCCATCCCGATTTCCCATGGGAATTTCCCTTCCCAACGGTCAGCCTAGATACTAGCCCTACTCCTGTTACTCCGCTTCTTTTATTAAGTTAGTGGCAAGATATTGTAGTGGAGGAACTAGGGGATTGGTATGTGACAGTCGTATGGATAACTATTATCTTAAGTCCTTGTTCAAAGAGGAAATAGACAATCAACAACCTTCTTGCAGACCTCGGGCGCAGTTGCGTAAAGGGAATGTTGTCTTCTCTCCTTCTAGGAAGTTGTGGGCTCAGGGCCCACAACTTCCGAACTGTTTAAGAGTGTCTCCTTGACCTACTCCTTTGGAGTGTAAAGGGCTGGAGCCTATTTAACCTCTCGGGCCAATGTCCCTACTGTCCCTATTGTCCCTACTGTCCCTTTTGGCCCTGTTGGCACCTTTGGCCCATCGGCCCTCGATCTGTCTGGGGAAATTGTCACGGGCTAGACCGCTATATAACCTATAAATAGGATAGATACAAGAGGAATCGTCGAAGAGGGAAAAGGAAGGCAATACTGAGGCGATTCCGAAACAGAAGAAAAATGGAGAGGGAGTCACGTGGTGGAAATACCAACACGTGACGCACGAAAGAAGAAAACACGAGGTCTGAAAGGTCCGAGTAAACTACAGGGCTTCAGCCCTTTACAGAAATATTTTGATAAATATTAATCACGTGATTAAAAATCTTTCCGAAAAATAAAAAGTTTTCAAAAATTTCAATTTTGGCCTGAAATTTCGAAATTTGAAATTTTTTTCACATCTCTAACTCCAACACAGGTTGTGGGTCAGATGACTGTCATGTGACTGCCAAGCAAATTTTTGGATCGCCCGAGCCATTCCGAATGCCTATCCGACCTGCAACCTGTGGGATGGGAGGATGGATGGATTTGAATCCTGACGTAATCCGGGAATGGCCGGCTGCCCGGAAACATATGATTACACCAGCTATGAACCGCATTCAGAATTACTACCTGGCTACGTCACTTATTAGGTCAACTTTGAAGATTTATATCGGTGATTTCGCAGGTCCGGTTTTTCCAGCACTATCTACTCGATTGCCAACAGTCCGCCTTTTTATCTGCCAACGATTAACGTGTGAATTCAGCAAAAGGATTAGTTTCCACACTCACAAATTGATTATTTAACATGAGACCCCAGTACTTGTACTACCTTCTAACCACAGGTGCTATGGCTCTTGCTGAAGATCAGCACCAACCTGTACAGCTCAGGTTTGCCTCCTTTGTCCTCCAAATAATTTTTAACACTCTAATACCTACTAAAAACTACTGGTTGGTGGTGTATAGGAAGTAGTGATCCTTTTACTATAAGCTTAGAGTTTTACTAATACCAGTGGTGGGATGGGATATAGTATGTAAGTGATTCCTATAACACAACTATAAGCTTAGAATTTCGCTAATATATAAATGGATGAGATACAGCCTGTAAGTGATTCTGATGGCAGAACTATATATATTTACTAATACTGGGGGTGGGATGGGATATAGGTTGTAAGTGATTCTGATGACAGAACTATATATATTTACTAATACGAGGGGCGGGATGGAATATAGGTTGTAAGTGGATTCTGATGGCACAACTATATATATTTACTAATACGAGGGGCGGGATGGAACATAGTATGTAAGTGATTCTGATGGCAGAACTATATATATTTACTAATACCAGGGTGGATGGGATATAGCTGTAAGTGATTCTATGGCAGAACTATATATATTACTAATACCAGGGGGATGGGATATAGGTAAGTGATTCTTGGCAGAATATATATATTCCACTAATATCAGGGGTGGGATGGGATATAGACTGTAAGTGATTCTGATGGCAGAACTATATATATTTACTAATACCAGAGGTGGGATGGGACATAGGTTGTAAGTGATTCTGATAGCACAACTATATATATTTACTAATACCAGAGGTGGCATGAGATATAGTCTGTAAGTGATTCTGATGGCAGAACTATATATATTTACTAATACCAGAGGCGGGATGGGATATAGACTGTAAGTGATTCTGATGGCAGAACTATATATATTTACTCAAATACCAGAGGTGGCATGGGATATAGTTTGTAAGCGGTTCTAATGGCAGAACCATATATATTCGACTAATACCAGCGGTGGGATGGGATATAGGGAGTAAGTGATTCTGATGGCACAGCTATATATATTTACTAATGCCAGAGGCGGGATGGGATATAGTTTGTAAGTGATTCTGATGGCACAACTATATATATTTACTAATACCAGAGGTGGGATGGGATATAGACCGTAAGTGGTTCTCATACCAGAAGTCTATATATTCTACTAATATCAGGGGTGGGATGGGATATAGTCTGTAAGTGATTCTGTGGCAGGACTATAAATATTTACTAATACGAAAGGTGGGATGGGTTACAGGGAGTAAGTGGTTCTGATGGTAGATCTATATATATATTTACTAATACGAAAGGTGGGGTGGGATATAGCTTGTAAGTGATTCTCATGGCAGAACTATATATATTTACTAATACCAGAGGTGGGATGGGATATAGTTTGTAAGTGATTCCGATGGCACAACTATATATATTTACTAATGCCAGTGGTGGGATGGGATATAGTTTGTAAGTGGTTCTGATGGGAGAACTATATATATTTGCTAATACCAGAGGCGGGATGGGACATAGTCTGTAAGTGGTTCTGATGGCAGAACTATGTATATTTTACTAATACCAGAGGTGGGATGGGATATAGGAAGTAAGTAATTCTCATGGCAGAACTATGTATATTTTACTAATACCAGAGGTGGGATGGGATATAGTCTGTAAGTGATTATCATGGCAGAACTATAAATATTTACTAATACCAGGGGTGGGATGGCATATAGGGAGTAAGTGGTTCCGATGGCAGAACTATATATATTTACTAATACCAGGGTGGGATGGGATATAGTCTGTAAGTGATTCTCATGGCAGAACTATATATATTCTACTAATACCAGGGTGGGATGGGATATAGACTGTAAGTGATTCTAATGGCAGAACTATATATATTCCACTAATACCAGCGGTGGCATGGGATATAGTCTGTAAGTGATTCTTCTTTTGGCAGAAGTATATATATTCGACTAATATCAGGGGTGGGATGGGATATAGGTTGTAAGTGATTCTGTTGGCAGAAGTATATATATTCGACTAATATCAGGGGTGGGATGGCATATAGGGAGTAAGTGGTTCCGATGGCAGAACTATATATATTCTACTAATACCAGGGTGGGATGGGATATAGACTGTAAGTGATTCTGATGGCAGAACTATATATATTTACTAATACCAGAGGTGGGATGGGATATAGTATGTAAGCGGTCCTAATGGCAGAACCATATATATTCGACTAATACCAGAGGTGGGATGGGATATAGGGAGTAAGTGATTCTGTTGGCAGAAGTATATATATTCGACTAATATCAGGGGTGGGATGGGATATAGGTTGTAAGTGATTCTGATGGCAGAACTATATATATATTACTAATACCAGAGGTGGGATGGGATATAGGTTGTAAGTGATTCTGATGGCAGAACTATATATATTTACTAATACAGGGGGGATGGGATATAGGTAAGTGATTCTGTGGCAGAACTATAATATTTACTAATACAAGGTGGGATGGGATATAGGTAAGGTTCTGATGGCAGAACTATATATATTCTACTAATACCAGGGGTGGGATGGGACATAGGAAGTAAGTGGTTCTGATGGCACAATTATATAAATTTACTAATACCAGAGGTGGCATGGGACATAGTCTGTACGTGATTCTGATGGCAGAACTATATATATTCTACTAATGCTAGGGGTGGGATGAGACATAGACTGTAAGTGATTCTGATGGCAGAACTATATATATTTACTAATACCAGAGGTGGGATGGGATATAGCTTGTAAGTGATCCTGATGGCAGAACTATACATATTACTAATACCAGAGGTTGGATGGGACATAGTCTGTACGTGATTCTGATGGCAGAACTATATATATTCTACTAATGCTAGGGGTGGGATGGGACATAGACTGTAAGTGATTCTGATGGAAACTATATATATTTACTAATACCAGAGTGGCATGGGATTAGCTTGTAAGTGTCCTGATGGCAGAACTATACATATTACTAATACCAGGGGTGGCATGGGTATAGCACGTAAGTGATTCTGATAACGAACTATAATCTTTTACTAATAATGAATTGGGATGGGATATAGGGAGTAAGTTATTTATACTTTAAGACTATAAGCTTATAGGTTTTACTAATACTAGGCCTGGTGGAATGGGATATAGAATGTAAGTGGTTCTTATAACACAGCTACCAGCTAGCAGTTTTACTAATACCAGGGGTGGGATGGGGTATAGCTTGTGAGTGGCATTATAAAGTAAGAGAATGATTTAATATTACTAAGTAATTGGGAGATAGGCTGTAAGTATTATACCCCTCTAATGTTAATTGTTAATAAAATAGTGACTTAAATGAGATATAGCCTGTATGTTGCTCTAAATAAAATTATATACCAACTTATATTTACTTGTCTATGTTGGTTGGTATATAGCCTGTATGTGAAAATATATATACATATATTAAGGGCACTATAACCTGGGTGGATGGCATGGCCTTAGATTGTATGTGGCTCTGCTTTATAAACTTTGAGAATTATAAACATCTAACCTGTGTTGGCTGATTTTAATAATATAACACAGACTGTATGTGACTGCAAATACTAAAACTTAAGGTTAAGCCTTACTAATGTGTTTTTTATATGGTATAGAGTGTAAGTTATATTGGTTAAACCTGTGAAAGTATAAAATTACTAACCTACCTTGTTTGGATGTCTCAGGCGGTAGGCGGCACTATATAAAATATTTTATAAGTAATACTGATTATATATCTAGATTAATGCCGAGATTGTAAGTGGAATTAATTTATTAGTTTGTTGTGCTAATAGCTTTTAACACATATATTCTTTGCATATAGACGGTCAGTCACTATAACCCACTGGGCTAAAACCCAGCTGATATTAACTTTATGGGCAAAAATAGAATGTAGTTCTTTTTATTACTAAAAAATAATAAAAAAAGCTGCTGGCAGGAGCTGACTACATTGAATATAGGCTGTATGTGACTACGATAAAATTGCTGTTAAACTAAATTTGTGGCTTATAAATGCTGGTTGGGTGGAATATAGATTGTGAGTGGATTTAGCTATTAACTGGAACTAGTTATATCTGACCATTTTTGAACTTACCATAGCCCGTATGTGACTGTTGAAATCCGAGTTGATAAACGTTGCTAAACTTTCTATGTTTATTGGGATATAGAGAGTAAGTTAATGATTTTAACCACAATATTTAACTATAGGAAGCCACGTGGGTTTGGTGTTAGTGGAAATAAATCACTAACAGACATATAGATAGTGAAACCAATCTTGTAAGTGGTGCGATACTAAGTGGAACTTGTTATATCTAACCCTTGTTTGTCAAACTTTCTGCAGGCTGTATGTGGCTCTTAGAATTCAAAGTTTATAGCTAAGGGTTGCTAAATTCTGTTATTATGGGACATAGAGTGTAAGTAGAACAGTTTTAATTATAATGTTTAATTAGGGAAGCATGCACATGCTAATTAATATATAGCTGGAAAACAGGATTGTAAGTAGCTCCGGCTACAAAGGAAGGTGTGTTTATAAGGCTGCTAATATAAACATGGTATTATGGATATAGAAAGTAGGTGAAGAATTATCTACTGAAGAATGGCGCTAATATATAATGGTTAACGGAGAAATAGAGTGTAAGCCACTCAGATAAGGATATAACCTATATGGGTTAGCTGCTGCTGTTTGCAAACTAACTAATAAAATAGCTTGTAAGATGGCTCCACCTAAGGAATTATATGGACAGTTACTGACCCAAGATTATTGGACTGGATTTAGGAAGTATGTTTTTCAAAGCAAATACTTAACTAGTATAAAATATGTATACCACAATGGCATAGCCTGCTAATGTATTCGGGGGGGGAATAATAGATAGTAAGTAGCTCTGTTGGGTGTTTCCTAGAAACTGGACAGTTTATTAACTTCGGCACGTAACATAGCCTGTATGTAAATTCCACAAGATTACCTTAAATATGGATATTGTTGCTAAATACTGTTGGTTTGGAATATAGGCGGTAAATGTCCCCTGTTACTATACTGCGATTAATAGACGTTACTAATCTGCTGCTGTGTGCCACAGAACGTAAGAATTACACCCAAACCTGAGTATTATAGGAAGCAGTGCCTGACCTGCGAGCAATAACTACAATACAGTGTGTAAGCACCCCCTTGCTATATATAAAGAGAGTTATGATTAGTTAATAATAGCTCTTGTAAGGGATATAGTATGTACGTATCTCCCACTAATTATCTATTAGTTTAAAAAAGAATTGTTAGCTAAGAACAGTGTGTGGAATCCCACTTTTGGATACAGAATGCAAGTTACTCTTACCCCGAGGCGTTGATGGCCCAGTATATTATATTAACTCGATGGGATATAGTGTGTAAGCCGGATTAGTTAAATACTATAATAACCAGCATCGCTAATTGCCATGGGGGTTTTTGCACAGCTGGTAAGTAACATGCTGTTAATAATAATAGGAGAGAGATCCCGCTAAGTGACGGTTATATAAAAATATAGGTGGTAGGTTAACCACACCTTGCTTTTCAGAATTAAGGCAGCTGTTAACCAAACAATGCGGGCTATATGGGATATAGGAGGTAAGCATATTAAATATATTTCTTCTAGCTATAAAAGTATTTGCTAAGTAATCTGGTTGCTGGGGTGGGAATGCAGTCTGTAAGTAAAATAAACTATCTTGGCTTGCACTTATAACTAATTCCGCTATGCAGGCTGTAAGTATTTCTGTGTCGAATAGCCACAGATAGCTGAAGTATTGCTAATTTAACCCTTGTTGGGATGGGGTAAAGGGAGTAAGTTTCCTAAAAATCTGCTAATGTTTAACTATTGCTAACTACTATCTCCTTAATATAGTGTGTAAGTATAGCTGAATTAGGCATACACCTTAAATAGTGTGACTCGCCCGTACCTTGTTAACAAAATATAGGGAGTAAGTGGATTTAACTATTTTAATTACAAGAGTATATAGTAGGAACTGACCAGAGCTTGTTTTACAGGTGGTAAGTGGGCTTTAGAACAGTCTTCTAATATAATCATGATTTATTAATCAATACTAATGCAAGGAGAGTGAGACAGACTGTATGCATTACTATTAAGTCTTAATTAATATTGCAGTAATAATATACTTACCAAGAATTGGTTGGATTGACTTAGTGTGTATGTGATGCTCTTTATAAAAAGGCAAGGATAATACTTATTTGTGATGACTTATCTGCACATAGACTGTAAGTGATATTTCCCAGATAATACCAGAACAGGCCGCTAACTACCAACTATGTTATAGACGGTAGGAAATCTAAATAAATAATCCCGGAGCTAAGTGTGTTACTAACATATACCTTCGTGGTGGGATACAGCGGGCAAGTCTTGCTGAATACAATATATAGCAGAATAGTAATGCTAACAAACACAAACTAACTGTACAGCCTGTGAGTTATCCTTTAACTTATTTGCACTGGCACTACGGTGACACTCACTTGTAATATGTGACTGGGTGTAGACACAGGTAAGTAAGGCATACAATAATATATAGGATTATAAAAGAGTTTTATATATGCTTAATTTATTATAATATAGGTAAGTAGTGCTATTCACCAACCAGTATAATAAATATAAAATTAGTTTACTTACTCCAGGGGGCATAACACAGATGGTAAGTATATCTGATTATGAGCTGAATAGAATATGCTAGCTACAAGATGACTAACTCCCACAGGTGGTAAGGGGTCCCCAGTATAATATAAACTCTGCCCCTATATGTTAATATACATGTCCTGGGCTAAACACAATAAAGGCTGTAAGTGGCCTTGGTCAAGTCCTATAATTCTGCCATGAAACTGATAATAGTTAGCCCTATGACCATAATGCTCTGGTAAGTCAGGACAACTAAAATTAATTAGACTTGAATATTAAAAGCATATCACTGTTACTAACTTGAAATATTAGTAACAACGTGCAACCGTTATAGTGCGGTCTAGTGGACTCAAGGTATTTTTAACAGTATAGTATCCACCTCCTTCCTATTATTATTTCTTTGTTTTTAATGGCTTTTATGCTAACCATTATCTTATTTTGTCGGATGACTAAACTATGATTATTGGTATTGCTGCAAAGCAGCAGTGGTAGTTCAACACTGTAAGTCCACCTTATTAGGTCGTGTGTATACTAACTTAATAAACAACTAAGACTTTTATTTGGTTGTCAATGCGTTATTGTTACTGGAACTATTGGTTTAACTATTTGTTCGCCTCGGCATGGGTTTTTTTCCTAGTATTTCTTGCTAGGTTTTCCCCATGTCTTCTATGCAAATGCAGGGGCAAATGTTGAATGTTTTCTTATATTTTAAGTTGTACAATCAGAATTGAAGATTGTGGTCCACTTTTCTGCACTACTATGTCTACTACTATGGTTTATGACAATGCTGTAACGAATCAACTTGGCCAGTAGATCAGCCAGTGAGTTGGATAAGATAGTAGACGCAAAAGTGTCACTATATCCGAAAAGTCAGATGTAGACAGTAGACTTGTTAGGCCCGCGGGTTGGGCCGGGTTTTTGAGGTTTTTCAACCCAGCCCGTTGGGTTTGGGTCAGGTCAAGATTATATATAAAACCGCCCACGGGTTGAAACAGGCTTGTCATCGATAATTTCTTGGCATTATAGTCAATGACTTCGATTCTCCCCCAGGTTACAGGTGAGCCGCCCTTGTTCAAGCGGTCGGGCGCCCCGAAACTGGTCATGTGATATGCCTAGCAGTTGTCAGAATAAAGCTAGTCCATATTGGGACATCATGTGAATATATATACCCAACACTCCTCATAGAGGGGTTGGGCAGAACATCCTTCTGAATATACTCAATTCTCACCTCCATACCAATATCCCATATATTCTGACAGCAGTGCACATGCCCATTACCGCTCATGGTTTATATTACACGGCATCTAAGCTTTTCAATACATGACATCCTCCATTACCCACCACCTCAACAGGAAAATGATTAAGTACTTGTAAACCAGTTATTTACTACTGTTGTAGTGGAGGAATTCGGGGGATTAGCACGTGACATTTGTATGGATAGCTATTATCTTAAGTCCTCATACGAAGAGGTAATAGACAATCAACAACCTTCTCACAGACCGCGGGACGCAGTTGCGTAAAGGGCATGTTGTCTTTTCTCCTGCCAGGAACTTGTGGGCTCGGGGCCCACAACTTCTGAACTGCCTAAGATTGCCTCCTTGACCTACTCCTTCGGAGTTCTACCATTTCCCTCTCATTCACTGTCTAACTACTTCATAGCTGTTTACAACATCTCAAGGCTTATATTTTGTAATCTTGCGCGCCTTTCCATAAGCTCCAGCTCTTTTTCCTCGTTTTGAAGTTGTTTCTCTCGTATGTGCTCTTCTTTTTCCTTATTTTAAAGCTGCTTTTCTCGTACGCGCTCTTCTTTTTCCTTTAATTGAAGCTCTCGCTCTCGAAGATCGAAGTTCTGTCACTGTTGTTCAGAATTTAATATATTCTGTGAAGAAATTCGACGAAGACTCTGCGACGAAGAAGATATTGAACTGATTATAAAGTACTTAATAACTACTTCGAAAGCACTTAAAGAGTAAAACTTACCGGCTGGCGCCTGATACCCTGGGTTGCGATTGAGACCTATTTGGTATTAATTCAGGTTCCGACCCTGAAGACAAATGGGTTGATGATGAATAGCGGCGTTTTCTAGACTCTAATTATATTTAAGTAGTTTATAGTTAGTTAAAAATAGAATAATATATGTATACATATATATATATATATATATATATTTACCTTCGCGAGCCACATGTCTTAAACAGTTTGTCTCCATGTTTGATGTTCGATATGAATGATGAATATTAAAGTTCGTACGATTTATATATTGCAGAATATCTTGTTTATCAAGCTTTGCAGAACTAAAAAAAATTTAGCAACTACTTTTTAAGTACTTGTTAAGCAGTTACGAAGTACTTACTTTTGGATTGCTGCTGTTAACGTTAATCGCCTTCCTGCTGCGTTGGCTTTATGGTGAGACTGTTCAGCTGAATTGGTATGATTCCGAATAGAATCATAAATAAATACTGGGATATTCGAGCAATTTTTGTTAAGCCCAGCTTTAAGAACAGGAGTCTTTTTATGGGCCGCCCATGCCTGGACCTTTTCATTTTCATGTTCTAAGCAGTCAGTAACTACTTTGTAAGTGTTTATAAAGTACTTACCAATCAATAAATTGCACAACTGATCATAATCATCTTCAGATTTGCAATCAATTAAGCTGGCCATTCGACTCCATACACCTGAACTTTTGTCATTGCTCCCAACTGCTTCAGTAATTGTCCGAAAAAAGTGAACCCAGCAAAATATAATAATCCCTTGTAACTGCCACTGAATCGATTGGTGAAGAGGGTCGATTTCCTGAAGATAGTGACCAAGGCCTCACGAACAGGTGCATCTTCAAATTAAAAACAAGAGTATGTAAGCTGCATAAGTGTCACCTGATATGCTAGAATTGGTTAAAGAAGCGAGAGCTATGCTAGTGCGGTTTTCTTGCGGTTATCCATGGCTAACCGTGGTTAAACCGCAAATCTGCGGTTGTGGTTTTGACTATGATACCCAAAACCGCGGTTTTGCCGCACGTCTAGAGGAATCGCTGAAGGAAGGAAGAAGAAATAAAGAGGGAGGAAGTGTGCGTTCTCATACGACCCCAGGTATGCGGACCAATCAACTGCGCCGATTGTGGCGAGGGCGAAGCCGAGCAATATACAGGCGTAGCCTGCGACATGCTCCAATACTAGTTTTCCTATACCTCTCTGGGCTAACCAGCTCCAGAACGGTATCCCTAGGAGTAGTATACTAGTACTGGGGATACAGCTCACAGTCTTGTCTTTCAGGTGAACTTAGGCTTCCTACTAGAGAATTCTACAAGGCAGTCCAAGCTTCCTGTTTTTGGTGGAGTAAAACGCAGGAAAAAATCTCACCACTTTTTAAAGAGAAGTGGTAAACTAAGGGCAAGGTTTTTATTGTTTTTGCAGAATACCAGGCTAGAATAACTGCTGTGGTGTGCAGGGCAGCTAGGTCCCCACCTCTTATCCTTCTCCAGGACAGTGATGGTGTTATACCGGTAGAGGCCTAGGGAATAACTAGTAGTGGCCCAGAAGTATTACAGGGGTATCAAGATTTCAACCACATGTAACAGTAAAGGGCTTATCTAGAAGTTCCTTGAACCCCCTAGTAGGTGCAGGAGTAGGTATAAGTATAGACTTATAGAGCTTTCCTTTCCTAGATAGGGTGTTCCGCAGGGACCGTTCGAAAGTCGCAGTATATTGGTGGTTGGTGTTGTCGGAGGTGGGAGGTGGCGGCAGTGGGAGGCAGAAAAGAGGAACTGCGTTGGTGGTTGGTCTCGGCAGCCCGAGCTCGGGAGCGTGGGAACACGAAAAAAAAAAATTTTTCACACGAAAATCGCAGTCTTTTTCATCAAAATACGGAACGTGGTTGGACTGTTGTATCAAGAAAAGTGGAGAAGTGACTAAGCTTGAAGAGGGCTATAAAACGATGTATGAATCGGTACCCAATACCCTACGGCAAGCCATTAGGACAAAAGTTTAAAAACTAATTTTTTAGCCGAAGTCCCTTTACCGCTTTCTGTACCGCTCTAACTAATAGTAATAAAGTAGCGGTGAAGATAAAAGAAAATAATAACATCTAACTGAGAGTAATTGTTTCTTTATATCAATTACAAGATGCCTCGTCCTTCTATTGAATTAGAGCCTTATAAAGCTGAGATTACTAGTCTATATAAGAATAAGAAGTCTTATAAAGATATTGCGAAATACCTTGAAGCTCAATATGGAATTGATGTTCAAGCGAGTACAATCTATGGCCGTTTAAAGACTTGGGGAGTTGATAAAAAGCATCGTACGTTAAGGTCTGAAACAGTTCTTCATTCACGGATAAAGGTTCTCTTTTTTCAAGTAGGTCTTGAAGAAAAGGAACTTCTCCGTGTACTAAATCTTGAAGGGTGGGATATAAAGCCTCGGACACTTAAATACATCCGTCATTACCTTGGGCTTTACCGTCGTACGAAGAATCCTATGATTTTACAGCAACAGGTTGAGAATGTTATGGAAGAACTGCAAAAACAGATTGAAAAAGGCCAAATTGAAGGCTATGGAAAAGAATTGCTTTATCGTCATATGCGAAGCCAAGGGTTTATGGTTGCTCGGTAAGCTCTTCGTACGAATATTAGATTCCGAAAATTAATTTTTTTTCCCTTAGGGATCGCCTCTTTTCAATCTATCGTACGCTTAATCCTGCGTCGGTTCAAAGACGTTTGCATGATTTGCAGCGGCATAGAGGAGCATATATTGTTCCAGGGCCTAATTATATATGGTTAATTGATGGCTACCTGAAACTTGCCCCTTATGGGATTGAGATCTATGCTGCTATTGATGCATATTCAAGATATATTATCTGGGTCTACGTCGGCATTAGTTCTCGTACGGCTGTTAGTGTTCTGCGGCAGTTTTTGGATGTTGTGCAGGTTACCAAAAAAACACCTCGATTCGTACGGTCTGATCGTGGAAATGAGACACCTCTTCTTGCTGAAGCTCAACATAAGCTTCAACAATCAACAAACCCAGAGGTCTCTATTAGAGATTGCTATATATACGGTACAAGCACAGCGAATCAAAGAATTGAGGCCTGGTGGCTACAGTTGAGTAGGGGCTTACTTTGGCGCTGGAAGGTAAGATGTTATTCCCTATTTCTTCGTACGAGGAGCTAACTTTAATAGGACTTTTTTATATCTCTTCAAGAAGAAGGGCTTTTTTCTCAAGATAATCTACCTTCTCAGATTGCTCTTTTTGCTATTTATATGCCTATCCTTCGAACAGAAATTTTTTCCTTCGTACGAACATGGAATAATCATTCTATTCGGAAACAAAAGCTTCGTCCGCATTTAGTTCATGGCAAGCCATATATGAACTATCATTTCCCTGTAGATGGTGTACAGGATTTTGGTATTTCATTTAATGAAGACCTTTTACAGACTCTACAGAGTGAGGTTCAAGCCTGGGGTAAGTTTTTTTTATTAATTATATATAAAATATACTAATAAATCTATAGATTCCGATGAATACCTCCCTCAAGAAACATATAATTGGGTATATAAGCAACTTTCTGAGCTTGGCTTTAGTCCAAATAACCCTTCTGAGTACTCAGATAATGATCGGTTTTCACCTTATCGTACGATGTTTATTGATTTGTGTCAACGTATAAGGATTCACATTGAAAGTGGGCTTCAACCAATACTCAGCTTATCTACAAAGCCAACGGGTGGTTTTAATTGGCAGCCTGAGCAGGAGATTCAAGAAATTGACTTTGATTTTGACCATACTGGGGATAGCTCTCTTAGATAGCTTTGTACGAAGAGATATATCTTCACCGCTACTTCCTCACCGCATTTTTGTTAATAGGTATGAGCTCTACCTTAAATATCTCACAAATTTCGTACAATAATGTAAAAAAGACTTATTCTTCAAAAACGGCAAAAAGTTTAAAATGGATTCATCCTGGAGTCCATTTTGTCCTAAAACTGGTATGAGACATGGTGATGCCTGGGCATGTGGAAGCTGTGGTGCTAGGCGAAGCCATCAATCTTCTCGTACGAGAAACAAAATAGATATTATTGACCTTTCTGATTCACCTCCTGCAACAACGGTTTTTACACATTATGATCGTACGGAAGGGGCAGAGCAATATCGTCAAGCTTCTATCACTCGTACGAAGAAACAAGTTATTCCTTCCTCCTTTATTTCAGCTACTGTTTTATTTTACCTTTTAAAACAGTCAAGAACTGAAGAGGGATTTTATTCTCCTACTTCGTGCAAATCTTTAGGTATGTATAAT